CTCCCTGGTGGCCTAAGGGTTAAGTCAGCGCTATCACCACTATGGCCTGAGTTCTGCACCCTGCCAGAGAACTAACCTACACGGCACAGCAGGCCTCTCCTGTCTAGTCCACTACTCCCCTCATCAGTGTTAATTTCAGTAGATCCGCCTGTTCTCCCCACTGACTGGTGAATCCTTTCACTCCTCACACCTCTGGCCTACATCCCAGTTCTATGCAAAAAGATAAAAATGGGCAGGATATAAACAGGAGAAGATGTCACCAGATCCAGTAACCATAAATTCCTTACACTTGCTTTATATGAAGGCAAAACTACAGAAAACTAAAACTATCTAGCCCTTGCCCTTGGCCAATGATACCAGCCTTGTCATTGGGTGGCCATAAGTCAAAATTACATCAACACAGAAGCTGCTGGCCACACTCACACACAGCCCTTTAAAGACCAGGTGGTTTTTTTTTTTTTTATGCATACAGGAGTTGGGGTGTAGGCCAGAGGTGTGGAACTGGGGTGGGGTGAGGTGAGAGGATTCACTAGAGACAGAGTAAGGGAATAGACAGAACAGGCGGATTGACTGAAGTACACTGCTGAGGGGAGCAGCAGGCAAGACGAGAGGTCTGCTGTGCCATGTGGACCAGCTCCCCAGCCAGGGATAGCTTCATAGTGCTGAGACTGAACCCTTTGTGCCACAAGGGAGGCCCAAGACCAGATGGTCTTGAGGCAACAATTCACCATCTCCTCAGGGTACTGACTCCCAAGAAAACCCAATTTCCTCCCACCCACTCTTGTCTCTCCAGGACTGGCTTCCCAGCAATGAGCAACTAGGTAGGCCTGGGCGCTGGTGACACAGGGAAACATGCAAAACTGGTAAAAAAAATAACCAGCCACACCCGTCAGACAAGTTCTTACCCAATTTGGCTGTTCAAAAAATGCGAGAGCAGAGTTAAAAAAATATATACTTGGCTCATTTTAATTTTAACTTATTTTTTTAAATGATTATTTAGGTGGTGCAGCAGTTTGAGTGCAGCGCTGTGAAGCTGCAGCCTCTGCAGCACGGGTTCGATTCCCAGCTGGCTAAGGAGATTCACACATGGCACGGCAGACATCTCCTGCCTCGCCTGCTGCTCCCTCAGCAGTGTTTTCGGTTGTCTGCCTGTTCTGCTCCCTGCTCTGTCTCTGGTGAATCCCCTTACCTCCCACACCTCTGACCTGTACCCCAGTCCTAGTATGAGTGAGTAAATTTTTTTTTTTTTTTTAAAAAGCCTGTGACTGGTGGCATCTGAGATGGCACAGCAACATCTAGAAGTGCATCTAGTCTATGTCACTGACCTGCTCTGTGACTTTGGATGGGTTATTTAACCTCTCTGGACCTGTTTCCACATCTGCAGAATGGGGGAAATATAAATATATTTTATCTCCTATTTGGTACACACTAAGGCTCAATAAATGCTAGCTGTAAATTTTTCATTTATCTTGGGATGAATAATCACAGAAGAATCCTCAAGCACACCTCATTTGCACTTTGGAACATGGGCTTTGGAACGTGGACAACCTTTTTTTAAAAAAAGGATTTATTTGGGGCCTCCCCAGTGATGCAGCGATTGAGCGCTGAGTTGCGAAGCTGCCCGCGGCCTTGCGGCGCCGGTTCGATCCCCGGCTGCTCCCTGGCCACCAGAGGAGGGTCCCACATGGCGCGCAGACCTCTCCTGCCGCCCGCTGCTCCCCTCAGCAGTGTCCTTTGGTCCTTCTGCCTGCTCTGCTCCCTGCTCTGGCTCTGGTGAATTCTCTCACCCTCCCGCGCTTCTGACTGTACCCAGTGCTTGTATAAATAAATAAATAAATAAATAAATAAATAAATAAATAAATAAATAAATAAATATTAAAAAAAAAAAAAAAGGATTTATTTGTACAAGAACTGGGGTACAGGCCAGAGGGGTGTGGGGGGGGCGGTGAGGGGATTCACCAGAGACAGAGCAGGGAGCAGAACAGGCAGATGTACTGAAATACACTGCTGAGGGGAGCAGCGGGCGAGACAGGAGAGGTCTGCCGCACCATGTGGGTTGCTCCCTGGCCAGCCAGGGATTGAACTTGCGCTGCAGAGGCTACGGATTGCTTCATAGTGTGGTGCTTAACCCCTTGCGCCATCAGGGAGGCCCTTGATTTGTTTCTTTGTGTACCATATATGAGTGAAATCATCCACTGTTGTCTCTCTTGGTCTGATTTATTTCACTAAGTATAATATTCTCTAGATCCATCCATGTTGTTGCAAGGATTGAATTTGCATTATAGCTGAGCAGTGGTCCACTGTATATATCAACCACATTTTTATCCATTCATCCATCAGTGGGCACTTAGGTTATTACCAATTCTTGGTCATTATGACTACTGCTGCAATGAACATTGGGGTTTATATAGCCCTTCAAATTAATGTTTTCATATTCTTCAGCTAAATACTCAGACTCAATGTAGGGTAAGTGAATTAATCAGGCTTTTTGCACCACTAACCTCTGTGGCTATCACCTGTGGCCTTGATGGTATTGATGCAGAAGGCACTTGGAAGCTTGGGCTCGGGGCACGTGTGCCTGCTTGTGAACACTTGGCGTGTGGGTATGCATGCATGCCTAAATGTGCACACTTGAACCTGGGGGCCAGGGATAGAGGGGCGGTGTCACTCAAAGACACAGGATGGCTACAAGGGAGAATGAGTGGCGTGACTATAGAAGAGGCGAGACCACAAGAGAATGCCCGAGAAAGACTAGAGAAAGTAAAGATTCACTAGATGGGGCCTCCCCTGGTGGCGCAGCAGTTGAGCACTGGGTTACGAAGCTGCCCGCAGCCTCTGCAGCACCGGTTCGATCCCTGGACACCAGCGAGGGTCCCACATGGTGTGGCAGACCTCTCCTGCCACCCGCTGCTCCCCTCAACAGTGTACTTCGGTCCATCTGCCTGTTCTGTTCTCCGCTCTGGCTCTGGTGAATTCTCTCACCCTCCCACGCTTCTGACTGTACCCAGTGCTTGTATAAATAAATAAATAAATCTTTAAAAAAAAAAAATTCACTAGATGCTGGAAGACTTGCCGGCCTCCTGGCTCCCCAGCCCCCACAACCCCCAGCCCCCTGCCCATCTGCCCACCCTGCACCTGGTTGACCCACAACACTCAGTTTGTAAATTTTTGAGAAAATGCCTGCCAGATACCTGTCTCACTATAGTATATCAGTTGTTTTATCACATAAAAATGATATTCCAATTCCTAAGTGTGGGCTGCGTACAAATAACTTTCTCCCAAAGAATACAGTATGGAAAAGACAGGAAGAAAAAAGAGAAACTTCACAGTGGAGATATGTGACAAGCATCCCTGCAGCCAGGTGAGCAAGGTCAATACTAACAGTGATAAAGCATGCTCATAGTATGGACCATTGACATGATGAGATGAAAATAGCACTTTACCTGTGATTTTCTTCCTAAAACCAGTCATCCCAGTCTAGCGACTAGGAAGACATCAAATCCCAACTAAAGAAAATCCTACAAAGCACTTGATGAATCCTCTTCAAAACTGTCAGTCATCAAAAAAAGGAAATCTGAGAAATTGTGATAGTCAAGAGGAGTCTAAGGAGATGTGTTAACTATATGTCATGTGTGACCCTAGATGGGGTCCTGGGACAGAAAAAGAGCACTGGGGAGAAATGAGGATATGCAGTAACGATAATAATAATCTGTTTATTGGTGTGACATGTAAGATGTCATGTGGGCAGACTAACGTAAAGGGGGGACTACCGATACGGAGTATGCCAGAAGGTGTTGCTTTTGCTGTGAACTGAAATGTGCCGTAGGAACTGGGTTAAGAGGAAAAGGTGATCTCCAGGCAGAAGGAACAGTTCGTGTGAAGATCTGGGGTAGGAATGAACTGCTTGATGTGAGCCATAAGGTAAGTTGGGTTAGAGTGGAGTGAACCAGGGGGCACTGAGGTTAGAGTGGTTGGCAAAGGCAAAGCTCACAGTCTGTGATTGGTGGCATCTGAGATGGCACAGCAACATCTGGGAGTGCATCTAGTCTGTGCCACTGACCTGCTCTGACTTTGGATGGGTTACTTAACCTCTGCAGAAGGGGGCATATATAAATATGTATTACCTCCTATTTGGGACACACTAAGGCTCAATAGATGCTAGCTGTAAAATTTTCATTTATTTTGGCAAGAACAGTCACAGAAGAATCCCCAAGCACACCTCCTCATTTGCACTTTGGAACATGGACTTTGGAACGTGGGCAGCCTTTTACAGAGGAGGAGAGTGCCATTCAGGGACCAAGGCTGCTCTGTCTCTTTCTTTTTATTTTTTTTTTTTAGATTTATTTATTTATACAAGAACCGGGGTACAGGCCAGAGGAGCGGGAGGGTGAGAGGATTCACCAGACCAGAGCGGGGAGCAGAGCAGGCAGAAGGACCGAAGTACACTGCTGAGGGGAGCAGCGGGCGGCAGGAGAGGTCTGCGCGCCATGTGGGACCCTCGCTGGCTGGCTGGGATCGAACCCGCGCTGCAGAGGCTGCGGACAGCTTCACAGTGCGGCGCTCAACCGCTCTGGGCTCCACCCAGGAGCCGCCACACCCGAGCTGAGCCTTTGCTTCGCGTATCTCCCGCGCCAGAAAGACAGGAGGCCTGATGTGTGACTTCATCACCCCTCCTTCCCGCTTCAGGACCGAGGTCAGAGGAGAGTGGGTGGCACCGACCAGGGACCGGAAGTTGACCTCCCGATTTCCCTAAGTTTGACCGGCACCCATGACAGCCAATCAGCTGAGGGGAGGCCAGCCTATCGACCAATGGGACGGCGGCATCCGAATGCGGTGTTCCGGGTCGAAAGTCACGGGCCTCAGCCTGGAACGTGGCCGAGGGCGGGGCGTCACATGAGCGGCGGGCTCGCCGGCCAATGGGCGGCGGGGCCCGCTCTCCGGAGGCGGGCACGGGCGGATGTGGTGACGTTAGCGCTGGTCCGCGGGGCGTGTGGGCCGAGGCGGCGGGCCCGGAGGACGCGCTGGCTGCTGGACTGGCTGCGGGGCCGACCCGGTGTTCGGGGCTACGGAGAGCGCGGAGCGGCCTGGGTCCGAGGTTGGTGGGCTGGGGGGGAGCCGGCTGCACTTCAGGGGCTCTGGGGACGTGGGGGAACGTTTGCAGACCCTTGGACCGGCCGAGCGGGAGAAGGGGCTGAACCCAGGCCTGCGAGGGGCGTGGCGGCCTCGGGGACTCTTCTGCAGGGACTTCAGGCTTTGGGGAGACCTTGGGGTGGTCTGTGAAGGGGTCTGCCTTGGAGGTTGAGCAGAGGTTGGGGGCGGAGGGGTGGAAGCGACTCCCGTGTTCTTTCTGGGAGCCCCTCTGATAGCTGGAGAAGTTGACTTCCAGGGGGAAGAGGTTAGTCTTGCCAGGACGGCGAGGTCAGGGGGAGACAAGAGTGTGCAGGGAGCTTGCAGGAGCTTGGAAGCCTTTGTCCAGTTCGTGGGGAATTCAGGATTGGAAGGAGTACGTTGCTGAAGGTGATCTTAAAAGAGTCTTGTCTAGGTCTAGAGGATATGTTGGGGGGCGGTAAGGACTCGGAGGGCTCGGAGTTGCTGATGCACGGGGAGATGGAAGTGTCTTGGGACTAGAACTAGTGACGTTGTGCAGGGAGTTAGGGAGCCCCCCCCAGGTTTGGGATGTGAAGAGTGTGGGGCGGCCTGCAGGAATGTGTGGGAGTTCTGGATGAGCAAATTAAGAGAAACCTAGGAGGGAGAGGCAGAGAAAGACTGGAACAGTGCGTGGGGAACCATGGCAGTGGCTGGTGGGAGTTATGGGTGCAAAGATGGGGCTGTGGGGCTGACTGCGACTCTTTGAGTCGTTTGGTGTCTAAATGAGGTGATGCATGAAAGTAGCACATCCAGCAAATGTACATGCCTTCTGTAAGAGTGATGTGAAACCTATTTTTGGTGCACAGAGTACTCAATTTACCTCAGAGAATGGCTGGCATCTCAGCCCCTGCCTTCCCTATCTGTATTTAGGGAACTCCCCAAGGTCCTGTCCGAAGGCCACAGTGACTTCACTGGAGTGGAAGGCACTGGAAGGAAGAACGGCCACCATGTCCACATTTAGACAGGAAGATGTGGAAGACCACTACGAAATGGGGGAGGAGCTGGGCAGGTGAGCTGTCTCCTTCCGATGGGATTCTAGGGGTGGGCATGGACTCTGGGGTTTTCTGAACATATTTCTCCTTCTGTCCTTCATCCTACACCCCAGGAAGGAATGAGTCAGTATCATGTGCTGGTGGAACAAGTTTGGGCTTTGGAGTTGTGAATTCGTGCTCTGTGCATTGTCTTTGGGAAAAACTGGACTTAAATGCATGTGGCACTTAAGGTAGTGCCGGGTATGTGGCCTGAGAACAATAGATGTTAGCAATTTCTATTAGTAAAGGTCTGTCCCTCTTTTTAACCCTGCCTTGTGGGAGGCACTTGTATCTTTCCAGAAGGCATCCTGTCTGGGCCCACACCCCTGCCAGTTGTTTAGCATTCTTGTGGGAAAAAGCGAGGTTTTGTGGTTCAGCCAGGCAGCTGATTTCCTGCCTAACTAGGCCTTGGAGTATCCCCTGGGAACTCCCCCGCCTCATACCAGGCGGGCACCAATGGAGCTTCAAACCTTATTTGGTGAGTTTGCTGCTGGCTGGCCAGTCCCATTATGTCACCAGAAGGGAATGTAAATAACTGAGCTGTGTGTCAGGCCTTTGCTGAGAGAGTATGTTTCAGGCTCACTTGGGATTCTGATATTCTTCCTTAAAGAATTTTTCCTGTTGCAGCGGTAGCTAATGCATATTCACTACACCCCCTGCCCCCCAAAGAAATCTTATAGTTTATTGTTGAAAGTATATAGGATCTCTTGAGAGTCATCATAACTTGGTGAGCCGGCAACATGTCATAGTATACAGTTGTGCATTGATTAATGCTGAGGACATGTTTTGATAAATGTGTTATTAGGTGATGTCATTGTGTGAAAACTATAGAGTGTAATTACATAAACCTAGATGGTACAACCTACTAGACGCCTAGGCAACATGGTGTAGCCTAATATAGCCTATTGGAAGCACCGTCATTGACTAAAACATCGTTTTAGTCTAAAACTAAAACATGCAGGCCTATATGTTCTCTTTAACCCACCAATTCTACTCCTAGGAATTAATTCAGTGGGAATATGTACATACATGGACCCAGTGGCCTAAGAATCATGCTGTCATGATTTTGTATGAGAAAAAACTTGGAGGCATCTATCAGTGGCCGCCAACGCACCTCATATGTGGGTGGAGTATTGCACAGCTGTTAAAAAGAGCCAGGCACCTCCTACACTGTGAAGCACATAGGAAATTTATTGAAATTTCCTAGTAGCTATGTCAATTTTATTTATTTGTTTTCTTTATTTTTTAAGATTTTATTTATTTATACAAGAGCTGGGGCACAGGTCAGAGGCCAGGAGGGTGAGAGACTTCACCAGAGACAGAGGGGGGAGTAGAACAGGCAGATGGACCGAAAACACTGCTGAGGGGAGCAGTGGGCGAGACAGGAGAGGTCTGCCACGCCATGTGGGTTCTCCCTGGCCGACCAGGAATCGAACCCACGCTGCAGAGGCTGCGGACAGCTTCACAGTGCGGTGCTCAACCTGCTGCGCCACCGGGGAGGCCCTATTTATTTGTTTTAAAGATTTATTTTCATTTATACATACAAGAACTGGGGTGTAGACCAGAGGTGCAGGGGTTGAGAGGATTCACCAGAGACAGAGTGGGGAGCAGAACACAGCGTCTTCTCTCTGATTTGGATCCTCTTCCCCCCTCTATAAGGACCCTTATGGGGACCCTGGGTCCCTGGGGATCCAGCATCTTCTCCCATCTCGGGGTCCTCAACTCAGTCCCCTCTTCATAGTCCCTTTTATCCTGTGAGTTCACATGTCCTCAGATCCCAGGACCAGGATGGGGAGGTCTTTGGAGAGACCATTATTTGGTTGCCATGATTAGTAATAATTTTGCGCCGCCCACCTTCTCCTCACCCTAGGGTGTTCAAAGTGTATCTTTGACAGCCCACTCAGGCACTCTCTACCACACTGTATATGATGGAAACATAGGATCCCACCTCTTCAGGTGTCACCTCACCACACCCACTGCTGAGGCATCCACAGTCCTCACCATAGTTCCCTGAAGTCAGTGGCTTTTTGGTTTTTGGGAAGGTGAAATACGCTGTGTAAAGGTCAGTTAGCATAGAACTATGCAAAATAAAAAAGTCCACTTTACTGTTTCCTCCGTTCATTCCCAAAGGCATCTATGGTTAATGGATTGGCTTGTGCTTTCAGATGGTTTCCCCGCATACACACATCAATACATCTGCATGTGGGTACAACATACTCCATTTTAAAATCAACAAACTCCGTTGTGTGTGCTGGTCAGCTTTTTTTTTTTTTAAAGATTTATTTATTTATGCATACAAAAACTGGGGTACAAGCCAGAGGCACGGGAGGTGAGGGGATTCACCAGAGACAGAGTGGGGAACAGAGCAGCCAGATGTACTGAAATACACTGCTGAGGGGAGCAGTGGGGATTCAGGAGAGGTCTGCTGCGCCATGTGGGTAATTCCCTGGCCGGGGATCGAACTTGTGCTGCAGTGGCTGTGAACAGCTTCATAGTGATATGACTTAATCCCTTGCGCCACCAGGGAGGCCCTATGCTGGTCAGCTTTTTAAACCGAGCAGCCTTCCCAGGCGCCTGGTCTGCACAGAGCCCTCCTCACCGCCCTCTCTGCCTGCAGCGGCCAGTTTGCAATCGTGCGGAAGTGCCGGCAGAAGGGCACCGGGAAGGAGTACGCGGCCAAGTTCATCAAGAAGCGCCGCCTGTCCTCCAGTCGCCGTGGGGTCAGCCGCGAGGAGATCGAGCGGGAGGTGAACATCCTGCGGGAGATCCGGCACCCCAACATCATCACGCTGCATGACATCTTCGAGAACAAGACAGATGTGGTGCTCATCCTGGAGCTGGTCTCAGGCGGGGAGCTCTTTGACTTCCTGGCAGAGAAGGAGTCGCTGACGGAGGATGAGGCCACGCAGTTCCTCAAGCAGATCCTGGATGGCGTGCACTACCTGCACTCCAAGCGCATTGCCCACTTTGACCTCAAGGTGAGCCCGCCTGCTGGGCCTGGGGACAGACCTGGGCCAAGGGGGAGAATGAGGGCTGGAGAGAGAGGGTCGGGCTCCTTGGCATGGCTGCACCCCTCAGATTGGGAATGGGCGGGCTCCCAGGGGTGGGGGCATTATTCATGGAGCTCTGAGCCCACAGAAGCAGCATAATTCATCTCCCATCCCAGCCAGAAAACATCATGCTCTTGGATAAGAATGTTCCCAACCCACGGATCAAGCTCATTGACTTTGGCATCGCCCACAAGATTGAAGCAGGGAATGAGTTCAAGAACATCTTTGGCACCCCAGAGTTTGTGGGTAAGCTTCGGGGACAAGGGCTCGTCAAGGGGGCATTTGAGAATTTCCCACCCCCAGATGCCTGGCCCACGGCCCTCAGGTTGCTCTCCCACAGCCTGGCATTGGGCATGTAGGAGCTACAGGCCTCAGGCTGGTGCTGACCCCATTTTGGCCTCCCTGCCCTGAGCATGGGGTCAGTGCCGCTGCCTGTGGCCAAGTGTCCAGTGCTGCCTCAAGTGCACCGTCTGTCTCTCTGTCCCTCACAGCTCCTGAGATCGTCAACTATGAGCCCCTGGGTCTGGAGGCGGACATGTGGTGAGTGGTGGGGAGAGCCAGGGGCCAGCACAGCTGCCCGGGCCTCATGTCCCTCCAGGGAATTCCTTTGCTCTCCTCAGGAGCCACTGGGCCACAGACTAGGGACAGCCAGTCTTCGTGCCACTGGTATGGTCAGACTGTTGCCTTGGCACAGGGGTTCACAAGCTATAGCCCAGACTGGGCCCAGGGTTTAGGAATGGTTTCTTCATTTTTAAAGGGTTTTAACAAAGTAGATGAACATGCAGCAGATGGTGGTTCGCAAAACTTAAAATACTTGCTGTCTAATCCTTTATTTATCTTTTTTTTTTTTTTTTTTTTTTTTGCATACAAGAGCTGGGGTATAGGCCAGAGATGCGGGGGTTGAGAAGATTCACCAGAGACAGAGTGGGGAGCAGAACAGGCAGAGCTACTGAAATACACTGTTAAGGGGAGCAGCGGGTGAGACAGGAGCGGTCTGCTGCTCCATGTGGGTCAGCTCTCTGGCTAGGGATCAAACTCAGGCTGTTGTGGTGATAGCACTGAGACTTAACCCGTAGGCCACCACAGATGCCCTGTCTGATCCTTTATAAGAAAGAGTTTGTGGGTCCCCTTCCAGCCACAGCAGCCCCCCAACAGGTTCCCACATCTGCCTGGTCTGTGGGGTCTTTGTGCTCTGTCTGCCTTACCCCCCATTGTCCAGTTTGAGCCTTGACAGGCAAGCATGGCTGGGGGGCTTCACTTGAATCCTGAGTCTCCCAGGGCCTGAAGGGGCAGCAGGTTGGGTGGAGGGTCCCTCTTGTCCCAGGTTGACTGATCTGCTGCCCTCCTGGCTTGAGAACCTTGGGTTTCTGGCTTCTCCACTGTGGACTCTGTAGAGAACTTGGGATTGGGGTGCCCCTTCCCCCATTTGGTGATGGGGCTGACTCTCCTCTCTTTTTCTGTAGGAGCATTGGCGTCATCACCTACATCCTGTGAGTACCTGGCTGGTGCTTCTTCTGGCCTCTCCCTGCAGCTTGCCAGGTCAGGGAGACTGCGTGTTGGGACAGTGCCCTTGTGTGCCTCTGTGGGCCGGGCCCTCTCGCATCACACAGACTCCCAGCACCCTGCCTTGCTGCAACACTGCAAATTCTGGATGGATGAAAGAATGAATGCATGATAGAGTAGATCCATTTGTGCAGGAGGAAAACAGTGTGTCCTGAGTCTTGGGGGTTTCTGGAGAGTTCTGAAGGCCTAGCACCCTCTGTGAGAGTCCTGCAGGGCTTGTGCCAGGGTGATGTGTCCCCTCTCTGTGTGAAGCAGGGATCTGACTCTAGGTCATCTCAAGCGCTGGGTTGGTTTTTCGACCCCGCCCCTGCATCAGGCATGCCCCTGCCTTCTGTAGTCCCCGCTTGCGGAGAGGGCATCACATACATATCTTGAGGTTTTGGGAGGTGGGTTTTTAAGCAGCTTTGGCTTACCTTTTGCATTTTTTGGTTCTGAGATAGGTTATGCATACAAGAGCTGGGGTACAGGCCAGAGATGTGGGAGTAAGAGGACTTACCAGAGACAGAGCGGGGAACAGAACAGGCAGACTGGCTGAAATACACTGCTGAGGGGAGCAGCAGGCGAGACAGGAGAGGTCTGCTGCGCCATGTGGGCTGCTCCCTGGCGGGCTGGGGATTGAACTTGTGCTGCAGAGGCTGCAGATTGCTTCATAGTGCGGTGCGTAATCCCTTGTGCCACCAGGGAGGCCCTCTGAGGTAGGTTTTGATTTGTGTAAGAGTTGCAAAGCCAGTACAACTTTCCCATCCCCCCCCTTTCTCCTTCCCCCTGCGTCCCTGGTGTTAACTTCTGACACAAACAGATAGTTTGCCAGTACTCTGTCCCTCACAGCTCCTGTGAGGGAGCATAAGTGAGTGCGGGATGATGGCAGCTTCATGCCACAATATGGAAGCCAGGCAGCTCTCCCCTGTCCTCTCTCTGGTGTAGGACACTGTCCTGGATCCTTACTATGTCTAGTCTCCTCCACTCTGGAAGCTTCCACTGCCTTTCCTTGTATGTCATCACCTTGACATTTGTGAAGAGCCCCAGGGCAGGAATTTCGTAGGCTATCCCCCAGCACGGGTCTGCTGTGTCTGCTCCTGACAAGATTGCTTTCCTCTGCACTGCACCAAGTGAGCTCACTACTCTGCCCCGCGCTGCTCTGCTCTCAGTACCTCTGGGCTGCTGGCCACCAGGTGTGTGAGGGTTTTCTACTCCGGCAGTTTTGCCATCAGCTGTGTGTCTCATCATTTAACTCAGTTCCACACCAGCCACCTAGAGATGGCGCCAGACCCCAGAGGTTCAAGGCTTGGTCTCACAAAACTCCTCTCTTCAGAAGCCAGCCACAAGCCCAGGTTGTGTGTCACTTGCGCCTTTGATCTACCTGCTGTAAGTTGGGGTTTCCATCACCCTGATCAGGTTGCATAATTTGCCTACAGAACTCAGAAAAACTTCACATACAGTTACCAGTGGACCCAAGTGTACAGGATTCAGATGGGCAGCCAGATGAAGAGGTTCATGGGGCCCAGGCTGGGGAGGGCCCCGCGCATAGGAGCTTCTTTCCCTGAGGAGTTTGGAACACACCACACTCTTGGCCCATGGACGCTTTCACTAACCACCCAAAGCTCTCTGAACCCCATATTACAGAGACTTTGAGGGTAGTTACATCATGTAGGCATGATTAATTAAATCATTGGTAACTGAGGATTAAATTCCAGCCTCTCCCTTCGCCAGAGGTCAGAGGTGGGGATGAAAGATCTACCCCCTAGTCCCAGGCCTGGTTCCCCAGCCCCCATCCTTCACAACTTTCTAAAAGTCACCTTGTTAATATGAACTCAGGTGTGGTTGAACGTGTTCCTTAGGAATAGCAAAATGTGTACCTCTGTCACTGGCGCTTTTTCAAGGCACAGACCAACTACTACAACAAAATAACACTCTCCCTGCGTCATCTTTGGGCTTAAGAGATTGCAAGGGCTCGGGAAGCTTTGCCTGAGCGAGGGCAGGGATTGCAGCTAAGGGTTTCTTACTGTCCATCACATGCCCCTTGCCCGGAGGCCCACGGTGTGCGGCCTCCTCGGTGCCTTGTTTTGGGAGGCTTGCCACGCCTGCGGCGCTTGCCTCGCCCACATGCTGCGGTGATTTTGGCTGGGACTCTCCCTACCAGCCCCTGGTTCCTCCTCTGATTACCAGACACTTTGGGGGTGATGCTTGGAAACTTCATGTCTTTTTAGATACTTAATAGTTTCTCCAGAGACTTGTCTGTGTGTTGGTTGCTGCCTGGGTGATGAATTTTGATGCCTTCTGATTGGGTTGGAGGTTCCAGGGAAATGGGGGGTGTCTGTCATGGCTTGGGGTCCAGAGTCCACCTCTCCTCTGCATCTACCCCTCGCGGGCCTAGCAGGGCAGGGTGAGTAGCCCTACTGAGCCCCGAGTTCATCTTCTAGCTTGAGTGGTGCGTCCCCGTTCCTGGGTGAAACCAAGCAGGAGACCCTGACCAACATCTCTGCTGTGAATTACGACTTCGACGAGGAATACTTCAGCACCACCAGCGAGCTGGCCAAAGACTTCATCCGCCGACTGCTTGTCAAAGACCCCAAGTAGGCGCGCAGAGCTGGGCAGGGGGCTCAGGAGACAGACCCTGGGCAGGGAGTGTCAGGGTATCCCCCAGAACAGGGGTGTGACTGTGAGCTAGGGATCCCCCCTACGCCCCCAGTGCTCTAACCAAGAATGGGGTGTGGCTTCCATATTGGGCTGAAGATAGTGGAAGGAGGCTTACCTTGGCATGCACTGTGCCTTAGGAAACTTAATTCATTGCCGAGGTCTAAGTAGGTTTCATGTAAAATTATAGCAGCCCAGAGCCCTCGTTTATAGGGGATGCTCCCGTTGGGTGTGGTCCTGAAATTTGACTAACCACACACGGGGGGTGGTTTCTTCCAGGAGGAGAATGACCATTGATCAAAGCCTGGAGCATTCCTGGATCAAGGTGAGGCAGATGAGCTGCTCCTTCTCGAGGCTGGCAGGGGGCATGGGGTGGGCATGGAGATGGTGCTGGAGCCACCTCGCTGAGACCCAGCTGCGGTGTTGAGCCCCTGTGTGCTCGCAGCAGGGCCTTCCCAGTAAGGGCACCCCTCCGGCGGGGTCGGCACCCTTCTCCAAAGAGCCAGATTGCTGGTGTTTTCAGCTGTGTGGTTTCTGCCAAGGCTACTCAGTTCTGCCATCCAGGCAGGAAGGTGCCAGAACCACGTGGATGCGAATGGGTGGGGCCACCTGCCAGTAAAACTGTACAGGTGCAAGGGGAGGGCCAGTGTGGCCCCTCCCCCTGCTCACCTCCACACCTGGTTTCCCCACCCCCGCAGGCCATCCGGCGGCGCAATGTGCGCCGGGAGGACAGTGGCAAGAAGCCAGAGCGGCGGCGCCTGAAGACAGCGCGCCTCAAGGAGTACACCATCAAATCGCACTCAAGCATGCCCCCCAACAACACGTACATCAACTTCGAGCGCTTCTCCAAGGTGCTGGAGGAAGTGGCGGCGGCTGAGGAGGGCCTGCGCGGGCTGGAGCACAGCCGGCGCCTATGCCATGAGGACGTTGAGGCTCTGACCGCCATCTACGAAGAGAAGGAGGCCTGGTACCGGGAGGAGCACGAGACCATCGGCCAGGACCTCCGGCGCCTGCGGCAGGAGCTGCACAAGACTGAGGCGCTCAAGAGGCAGGCCCAGGAGGAGGCCAAGGGGGCTCTGTTGGGGGCCAACGGGCTCAAGCGCCGCTTCAGCCGCCTGGAGAACCGCTACGAGGCCCTGGCCAAGCAGGTGGCCTCCGAGATGCGGTTTGTGCAGGATTTGGTGCGTGCTATGGAGCAGGAGAAGCTGCAGGGTGGGGAGTGTGGCCTCCGCTAGGGCCCTGGGGGGTGGGAGGGGAGGCAGCTGGGGAGGACAGGCCAGCCTGCGCTGTGGGGCCAGGGGAACTGGAACCCAGGAATTCATGGCCTGATGGAGGGGCTCGGTTTGCTCTGGGCCCTGCCCCAGGAAGACTTGGCTGGTCTGGGCCTGCAGACTACCTTCTGTCCAGCTTAGCTGCTTTCCTGAGACATTGGTGACTCGGGGGTCTTTGGAGGCCTCGTGGCCTTGGGGACTGAGAACTCTGCAAAGGTTAGTACCGCCAAGATGGAAGTGGCCATGGAGGACAGAGGTGCTGCACACCTGGCTGTGGGCAGGGTGGCAACGTTCCTGTCTAGGGCCTGGGCTGGGGGCTCCAGGTGGTCAAAGCACACAGCAGGGCCTGGGTCTGTGTTCAGCCCCTCCACGCCAGTCCAAGTTCTCAGGAAGGGTTTGCCAACTGTCCCCACCCTCCAGCTCCCTGAGCTGGGAATTGAGGGGCCTCTGAACACAACTCTTGTGATCCCCGAGGCCCTCACCCTGCCCTGACCCTGGGTAGGCACAAGGCTCAGAGTTTGAGAGTAGTCCTCCAGGTGCCCAGAACCCCCAGTGCATTTTAATTTCTGGGGTAAGCTGCCCTAGACCAGGTGTGTGTGTGGGGGGGTGCCATGGGCCATGCCACCATGCATTGCCAGGGGCTGCCCTCAAGCTGGGTCTGCCTCCAGAGGACTTTGCCTGCCGCTGAGGCTCTGTGAGGAGCAGGGCCCTGGCCCATGACTGCTCTGCAGCAGGTTATGCCTCTCAGGGGGGCCCTGAGCAGCCCCCTACTCTTCCTCAAGCCCAAGAGGAGTTCTCAGGACAGAGGCCAGCCTGGACCGAGTGCAGGGACAGACTAGGAAGGGAGGCTGGTTCTCTAAATGGGACCGCCTGAAGGGTCCCCAGGGCCTCTGGGTGTAGCATGGCCCAGCCCCAGGACTTGCGGGTCCTGTGCGTGCCCCTCCGAGGGCGCCCTGGTGTCGCTGTGCATGTCTCCGCAGCACTTGCCTGTTGAAAGCCTAAAGGAAATAAAGCCTGTTTCCTGCTGCCCGGCTGCTCGGCTCAGGCACACGCCCTCTTGGCTCCCGGGTCTCTTCTGTCCACTGCTGCGCCCCGGGGCTCCTTGGGAAGAAGAGGGAGAACCTGGGAGGCCGCCCCACTCTTGGGGCTTGGCTGGTTTCTGGTTTTTTGGTTGTAGCAAGATGGAAGCTCCCAGGTGTCCAGTGTGGGCCCAGAGGCGTTTTCTTTCCTTTCGTGCTGCCTCAGAAGCTGCAGGTTCACAGTACGGGCTGCACCCTTGCTGCTCCTGCACCACCTCGGTCCGGAATGTGGCTCCAAGGGAATGTGGCTCCAGAGGGAATCCTTACCCTCCCCCGGGAGCTCTGACTTTCCATAGCCCCATTATCCTTCCGGTAGCTCCTTCCGGACACCAAGGGGCATGTTTTCCTTTTTTTACTTAAAACAAAAATGAGACAATACCATCAATTCGTGTTTTAATATTTTCGATGTTTTTGATGGACAGCCTTGAGTTTTAACGTTTCAGTCCCTCTCAACGCCGCGAATGCTCAGACCATATGGCTGTTCCTTCAGCACGTGGCTGGCCTTTCCAGCCCTTGTCAGGTAGGATTTGGCCTGGCACATGACTCGGGTCCCTCAGGGGCTTTCCTGGGGGGCGAGGCCCTGAGCTTGTGGGGTCTGGCACTATGGGTAGGTCAGGGGCAGCGCTGCTGGATGTGAAGGAAAACCCTGTTTGCTCACAAGGGTTGAGAGTAAAGAAAGGGAGTCCTCTTTTGCATTCCGATTCAATTGTGTAGCCCTGGGCCCAGCTGGCAAAGGGGTAAGTTGGTGATACATGCAAGGTGGCTATGGTGGGGTGAACTGTGTCCCCCCAAAGGAGATGTTGAGGTCCTAACCCCCAGAACTGGGAGTGTGTGATCACATTTGAAAACGGGATCTTTGCAGATAGAATTAAGATGAGAGCAGACTGGACTTGGGGCTGGGGGCTCCTAATCCGGTGACTGTGTGTGTGAGGCCACAAGAAGCAACAGACACGGGCAAGGCCACGTGAGGATGGAGGCCGAAACAGGAGCTATGTGGCCACCCACTGAGGGCTGCCGGCGTTGCCTGCAACACCAGAAGCTGGGAGAAGCAGGGAGGATCCTCCCTGGAGCCTTTGGAGGGTTCACAGCCCTGGGATGCCTTGATTTTGCACTTCTGCATTCCCGATCGGAGAGAGAATAGACTCCTGTTGTGTAAAGCTGCCCAATTTTCTGACATTGCTCCAGAAACCACAGCAAACACAGGCTCCGGGGTTGAAACAAAGCCGTCTTGGGCATCCGCAGTTGGACACAGCACCCGGCACACAGGGATATTCATAGCCAACCCCGAGGTCATTTCTACAGTTGGTCCATACCTGGCAGTTCCAGACCTCAGCTCCCCCAAGCCCATGTGTCACTGGTGTGGTTTCCAGGTGGAAAAATACATTGACAACCCTGACAGGGCCCCAGCCTCCCCTGCAAAACCTGGCCCTGAAGGAGTCCCCACCTTCAGGATGCGACGACAGGGCAGCGCCAGACAGCTCCCCATGCAGGCAGACCACCCACCGGGCACACCAGTGGCCAGGGAGAGCATGTGGAAGGGCTGGGGCCTGGGGTTGGCGGAGGGGGGAGTGGGGCGTGGTTTCAAGGACACCCTGGGGCAGGGGTTTGGCACGTGGCCGGCTGATGTTCTGCAGCAGCCTTGTGGCTGTCCCTGCTGCTTCTGTTGGTTCGAGTGGTTATGTAGGGTCCCTCTGGAAGTCAGTGGGCACAGGCAGTGTGGTGCAGTGGTGAGATGCCCTCGGGGCATGGCAGGCTGGGTTCAGAATTGACCCTGGAACAGCTATACATTCCTGCTCCCCCACTGGGCCTGTTTTCTTCTCTACTACTTGAAATGCTAAAGGGCAATCAGGGTTAGGGGGTGAACAGGGTGGGTAGCGCTCCAGGCAGGCTGCGGTGGTCCTGGAACGGGGAGCCAGGGCTGGGTGGGCTCAGAGGTGTTAGCCATGACTGTGCTGCTGACCATGGGCCACTGGGTCAGTGATTTGCGCTTAAGTCACTTCTGCACCCTGTTCGAGAGGGCGGGAGTCCCACCCTGGGCCACCTGACACTGGACAGATGAGTGGACAGCGGTTTCACTCACTGGGCGCGAAGGCACGGTGCACCACACAACCAGGCCACGCGGGGGCGCACTTGGGTGAGCCCAAGGGCTTTGGGACCTGGACTGCTTTGTAGTCACAAGAGGGTGTCACACCCTGGGGAGGATGTGACTGGCTTGTTAGAAAAATACTTGGGGTTGAGCACGCGCTGCGCCCTGTCCCTCCTTTGGGAGGGTTGGCAGAGCTTGGGAGGCAGCGTGCAAGACCATTTGAGACCCTCCCAGTTCCACCAGTACATAAGATGAGCCTGAACTTAACTCATGCCACAGCGTGGAAAGAAGCACGCGCCCTCACAAAAGGGGTTGTCACCCCTGGGCTCCAGTTCAGCCTGGGGGCTCCTGCCTGCGGGTAACGGTCCTCTTCCTGTGTGCCTTCAGCTCGGCCTTCCCTTCGGGACAGCGCTTCTGTCTGCCTCCTAGAGAGGTGTAGGGGGTCAAAGGAAAAGAGGGTGTTGGGATCCCGCACACGCCAGCACACCCCTAAGTCTGGGTCCTGGCAGATTTGGGGGCTTGGGGCTAGAGGCCACTGTGACACTCAGTGCCGGGCAGAGCGTTGCCAGTCCCTTGCCGGTCAGATGTGTGCTGTGTCCCGGCCCGGGGGCCACAGGCGGTGCCAGGAGAAGGCCTGGGCCAGCCAAGCCCGCAGCTGCTGCCCTCTGACCATACTCGGGCAAGAAAGAGCAGCGCGGGGAGGGCCGCTATTAATAGCCGCGCGGCCTGCCCGGGGCTCAGGGCGCCTGCGGCTCCTATAAAGCCAGGCCCGCCGGCCGCCAGCGGCTCCTTCAGCCCCTGAGACCTTTAGCCCCCCTGTTGTGAGAGAAAAAGAAAAGTAAGTACCAAAACCATTCCCCTGTCCTCCTGCCTGGCCCCACCGTGGGCCTGAAAAGTGAGACACGGAACAGTGGTGAAACGACATACCCCATCCAAAGGACGTCTGCAACACAGCCTCGGTGGCACTTAACTGTCCCAGGCGGTTGGGGGCCTGTCCCAGTGGGGGAGAGGGCAGTGAGGAAGAGAAGGGGGCTGGGCCTTCTCCTGTCCTGGAGGGGACAGAGCCGGGACCTCTACCCCTGGCCAGGAAACCCCAGAGTGCATGTGTGTCTGGCGGTGATGCGGCCACAGGGATGACTCCCTCCGGGAGTGGACCGGCAGGGACGGAGACCTGGGCGCCCTCCCTGCTCCACCCCCCCCACCCCAGACCCCTGACGTCCCCCCTCCCGGGGTTGTATGTTTTAAAGGTCCCTTTATAGGAGTCTCACAGGCCAGTGTGGGATGAGCCCTGTTTTGTCCGTTGAATGCCCTGTTTCTGGGGCTGCCAGACTGCTCCCCTCCGCCTGCCCCCTCCCTCCCTTCGAGGGGGCCAGACCCTGTACTCCTGGACTTAGTTGTGTTGTGACCTTGTTGAATGTCAGAGAAGCTGAAAGGGAACAGGGAGGAGAGGAGGCCATTTCTTATGCTCCCAGCTCCCCCAATACAAGCTGGGTAGATTTGGGGGGCTCCATGGCAGTGATGGAAGGCATGTGGGATTTGTCTGCAGCCTTTAGTTGCCCCTGTATCAGCTGGCCCCCGGTAGACCCCAAAGAACCCCTCCAGGGGCCTGGCACTGGAAGGATGGGGTGGCAGAGCTGGGGGTGGCCTTAGAAGTAACCTTCTGGCCCTGTTGGGAAACGGGTGGGGGTGGGGGCCGCCCCGGCAGAGTAAGTGCTGATTAAGAGGCCTGCTGAGTGCTACTTGACGTGTGTGGCAAATGCTTGGGGTGGCGTGGGGCTCTGAAATAGAGTGCGTTGGGCGGGGGCGGGGGGGGGTCTGGGAGATGGGCCTGGCCTGCCACCTCTGGGCCTCTCGGCTCTATCACAGTAGATTTCAGTGTCTCTCCGCCCGCGGCGGTGAGGACATTTGGAGAAGGGCACAAGGTCCGGGTTCTCGCGTGACCTGGTCTGGGCCAGCCGGAGGCACAGAAGGCCTCCTGTCCCTCTGTGTGTTTACAGTGGGCTGGGTGGGGTAAGGTCGCCCCAGCAGGCAGGGGGTTTCAGATTGGTTTCTTAATTGGGGGAGCTGCAGTGGAGCTGGGTTTCAGCAAGGGGTCTTGTGGGGCACCCCCATCCTCTCTGCTCCGGCAAACCTGACCATCCCTCTAAGTGACCTCACAGGTAGGCCGGGGTCATTCCTCTTCCCTCCACGGGGTGGCTGCCCTGTCACCCTGGGGCTCCTCAGGAATCAAGAAAGGGGGGCTGAGGCCTGATTAAGTCCTCTGGGCAGGGAATGACTTGGCCCGGGAGGGTGTGAGCCACAGGATGGTCAGGCGCGTGGGAGCACGTCAGGGTCGTGCCCATGCTGGGCTGTCTCCTGCTCTCTGTGGCCTTTCCTCTGCAGTGCGCCCCATGCCAGGCATCTGAAGGGGACAGGGCAGGGTTTGAGCCCATTTGTGTACCTTGGGGCAGGGCCCGTTCCCTGTCAGAGTCCTGACATGGGGGCTGGGTTACCTCTTTGGGGCCCAGCCTGGGCCCTGTGGGGCACTGTGGGGTGCCTAACAGCATCCTTGGCCCCTCCTACGCAATACTGAGAGCACCCCCAATGTGACAGCCACCCCAGGACATCCCCTGCTGTCTCCTGGGGGAAAGGATCACCCCCTCCCACCATTGAGAACTGCTGACCTGAGGTTGATCTTGGCTTTGAATGTTTGAAAGGTGGGGTATGCATTGATGGGTGACCCCGGGACGATTTTAGGTGATCCGTGGGCCAGCCTTTTAGCTTTATTAGTTATGCGGTTTATTCCAATGGAGATCACACAGTTCAAGTCTTCCCATCAACACCAACACCTTAAAATTTCCCCTTCAAAAAATTTAAGTAAAAATCAATAAAATGAGTGAGCCTTAGAAAGGTGATAAATGCACACACGACTGTAGGGGTGCCCATCGCCTAGGCCTCCATCATGAGGACTGGAGTCAAAGGTCCCTTGAAGGGTTCTCGGAGGCTCTGGAGCCTGGTCCAGGACTCCTGAGATGGTGGGGGGCCCTGGGAGCTGAGGGGCTCCTCCAAGGGAAAGGGGAGCCCACAGGTGCTGAGTTCTGCCCCTGACTGTGGGCACAAGACAGAAGACACAGCTGGGTCCCCAGGTCACCTTCACCTGGAACCCTGTCTTTGCTTTCTGTGAGTGACCTTGACAGAATCTCCGCCTCCTGGAGCCTCAGTTTCCTTTTATGCAAAAAGCCATAAATTGTGCTGTGTTCAGGCAGGGGTGGGGAGGGTTCCAGACCCACCTGGAGCCAGCCCGGGTTTGTGAGGACCCTGGTCACAAAACCAGCAGCTGCAAGTGTGCCAGGCTCCCTGGTGAGGAAGGTGAGTGTACAGGTGGCGTGTCACCTGCCTGAGGACTGGGCACGAGCTGGGGTCTGGCGCTGGGGTCTGGCGCTGCCTACTCACGCTCTGGGCAGCCTGCTTTTGGGCTACCTCATCCTAGAGTCTGGGACACCACCCGGCACTGACTGGGGCCTCGACCCACAGCGTGTATGGTGGAAATAGGAGGGGACACGTTGGTTAGTCTTAGGGAGCTGCCCAGGAAGGACAGGGGCTGCGGGACAGGCCCAGGTGAGCTGACGTCACCGAGCGCTCGTGACGCATGCCACAGGGTGTCCATCCAGCCACTTGTTGATCAAATGGGTCTCGGGTTACTTCTCTACTTTAGCTACTGGGAATCACGTTGCTGTGAACATGGGTGTGCAAATATGCCTTCAAGTCCCTGTTTTCATTGCTGTGGGGTGTGTACCCTGAAGTGGCATTGCTGGGTTACATGATAATTCCATGTTTACCTTTTGAAAGAACCTCCATGCTGCCTCCCACAAGACAGCACGCATGCGGCGTGCCATCCAGACACAACGCCACCTGCCCCATTTTCCCTTTCCGCCAGTCAGGCCCAGGATTCCCTTCGCCCCATGTGCCCATCAATACTTGCTACATGCTATTTTTTTGAGCTGTTCACCAATGGCTGCTGCTCTGTGGTGACCCAGGGCTGGTGGCCGGCAGCGCTCTGGCAGCCCCAGCTCCCCTGCGTCCCTGTTCCATCCTGGGCTATTTTGGGCCAGTGACCACAGATCATCCTCACTGTGCTCCGTGCTGCAGGCAAAGGGCAAGGCTTGGCGCCCTCCAGGCGCTTCCTCCTGGCTGTGTGCCTGCGCTCACCTGTCCTCCAGGACGGGTGACAGGGGCACCGCCATGCCCCGAGGCAGTGTCTCCACCCAAGCCCACCCGTCAACTAGGCAGCAGAAAGGAAATATTCCAGCTTGGCAGGCCACAGGGTCTCTGCGGCTCCAGAGAGGCCACAGATGACGCGCGTCCCCGTGGGTGTGGCCGTGAGCCAATGCAGCTCTTCACAGACACCGGAATTCCGATGTCACTTAATTTGCATGTGTCACAAAATGGAATTCTCCTGTTATTTCCCCCTCTGATTAAAATTATGAAGCCACTCTTTTTTTTAAATTTATTTTTTAAAAAGATTTATTTTTATTTATTTATGCACGCAAGAGCTAAGGTGTAGGCCGGAGTTGCCGGGGGTGAGAGGATTCACCGGAGACAGAGTGGGGAGCAGAAGAGGCGGCTTTACCTGAAATACACTGCTGAGGGGAGCAGCAGGTGAGTCAGGAGAGGTCTGCTGTGCCATGTGGGTAGCTCCCTGGCCGGGGATTGAATTTGTGCTGCTGTGGCTGCAGATAGCTGCATAGTGTGGCGGTGGAAACACGGAATCAGTAGGCTGCAGTGTATTTCCCTTTTGACTTTGGGGATGGTGCTGTCTTGTCTCTAGCTTACCTTAGTGTAAGGATAGTCTAGAACACATGCAATATGCAAACTACCTGCTGCTCCACCGCTTGTGATGTAAGGTTTCTGATCAATAACAGGTGATGGGTAGTTAAGTTTTTTTTTTAAAGATTTATTTATGCACACAAGAACTGCGGTACAGGCCAGAGGTGTGTGTGGGGGGGGGGGTGAGAGGATTCACCAGAGACAGAGCAGGGAACAGAACAGGCAGACTGACTGAAATACACTGCTGAGGGGAGCAGCGGGCGAGACAGGAGAGGACTGCTGCACCATGTGGGTAGCTCCCTGTCTGGGGATCGAACTCGTGCTACAGTGGCCACGGATAGCTTCATAGGTTGCTTCTCAACTCCTTGCACCACCAGGAGGCCTGGTAGTTAAGTTTTGGTCAAAAGGTATACGTGGGATTTTCAAGTCACGGCCTCTAGCCAGGATCAGCTGTAATGTGATATTAATGAGCAGATGGGTATTCACACTTTTTTTTTTTTTTTTAGATTCCTTCACCTCTTGTTGACATTTTCTCCAAATGTTTGGCATTCTTGGATAAAGCATTAGGTTTAATTTTTTTTTTTAAGATTTATTTATTTATTTATCTATTTATTTATTTATTTATTTATACAAGCATGGGGTACAGTCAGAAGCGCGGGAGGGTGAGAGAATTCACCAGAGCCAGAGTGGGGAGCAGAACAGGCAGAAGGACCGAAGTACACTGCTGAGGGGAGCAGCGGGTGGCAGGTGGCAGAAGTCTGTGCGACATGTGGGACCCTATTCCGGTGGCCGGGGCGCAGCCGGGGATTGAACCGGCGCTGCAGAGGCTGCAGGCAGCTTTGCAACCCAGCGCTCAACCGCTGCGCCACCGGGGAGGCCCCCACACATTTTTTTTTAATGAAAGTTGCAAATGTCCAAAATACTGAATAAAATAGAAGTCACATTGGGTGTTTTTTTTTTTCTTATCAAGTCCTAAAGAATTTTTAGGTGGTTTTATTGAGATATAATTAACAAATCATACGATCTGCCCATTTGATGTGTACTTTTTATTTTTTTTTACAACATTCACAGGCCTGTGCAACCATCGCTTCAGTCAGTTTTAGACTCTTTTGTCCCCTGAATAAAGAAACCTTGTCTCCATTGGTGGCCACCCCCAGCCCTCTCCCCCAGCCACTCTCTGTCTCTGGTTTTTCAGGGTTGCTACCTCCTGAGGCATCTCTCCCTGACTTGCTCACGGCAGCCTTTGCACTGTGTCTTTCACGACCCCCCCCTCCGTGCCCACGCGCCCCTCGGTGACCGCAAGTCTCCTCTTTGATGGATGCAGTCATACTGGATTAAGGTCCACCCTTGCCACCCCATTAACTGGAGCACCTCTTTAATCTCTCCCAAATGCAGTCCCATTCTGAAGAGCTGGGTATCATGAACTTCGGGGGGACAAAATATAGTTCCTACCAGTGTCTGTTTCTATTCTGTAAAGAGAGAAGATTTCACAGATACACGAGCTCATAGGGCCCTGAGCTGTTAGAGACCCAGACTTGTACCAGCTTGTCAGGCCCATGCCCGGGTCCTTTTAACTTCCCTTCTGTGGTGTCCTTCCCAGGAGGACGAGTTCCCAGGTCTGATCTATTTCCCCCCTTCTCTTTCTATTGAGGTGAAATTCACATAAACCAACTAATTCTAAGGGAGCCGTTCACTGACATTTCACATACTCTCAGGGCTGTGCGGTCATCACCTTTATCAAGTTCAAAACTGTTTTCATCACTCAAAAGGAAATCCTGTTCCCATTAGCCGTCACTCCCTGTCCCTTGGCAACCACGGATCTGCTTCCTCTCTTTGTGGATGTGCCTGTTCTGGACATTCGCATCAGTGGGTCACCTGCTGTGACCTCGTGCGTCTGGCTTCTCTCCCTGAGCACCACGTGTCCAAGGTCCCTCCCCGTGGAAGCGAGCATCAGCGCTGCCTCCTTTTCAGGGTTGACTAAGATTCCAGGGTGTGGGTGGACCACATTTTGCTTATCCATTCATTTATTGATGGATGTTTGGGTGTTTCCACCTTTTCATCATGACCAGCAGCGCGCTACGAAGCAAAAACCATGTGCAGGTTTTTGTTTGAAAATCTGCTTTCAGTTCCTTTGGGTCCACCCCAGGAGTGGAGTTGCTGGGTCGTACGGTAATTGGGTCTTTCTTTTCTTCTCCCCAGACCCCCATCGTGTCCAAGCGTTCGCTGGCTTTGTCCAAATCTGTTTTAAGGGCAGCTTTTCCCTGCCTTTCTGGACTGAGAGGGCCGGCGGGTGCAATTCCATGGCCGGCCATGGGGTGTCTCCCTCAGGCCGGGGGCCACCCCAGCCTTCCACCTCCCTCCCTGCGCCTCCGTCAGGGTCTCCACGGGACCTTCTCACCTCCCTTGGGCATAAAGAATGGGGAGAGGGATCTGCGGAGACTCAACTCAAACCCCAGCTCTGCCAGGCCACTGGCCGCCTCCACACCTCCGTCTCCCCGTCCGGGAAGTGCGTGTAAGTGATAAAGTCTCCGTGGTTTCTGGGAGGACTGAGGGGGATGGGGTTTCTGAGACAGGAAGTATGTTCTTTGCCAGCCTGCTGGGTAAGAAAGCTTCCTGGGAACCCCACCCGTAGGTGTCAGCTGCCAGCACAGAGCAGACTCGGGGTGAAGGCAGGTCTCCGCCCGCCCTCTGCTCGGGCAGGTGCCCCCTGTCTGGTGAAAGCTCACAGTAAATTTCCCATCTGGGGAAACTGAGGCCCCAAGGATCCTCAAGCAGTCCCTTGCTGTCATATCAGCATGGGTGGGGATTAGGATAGCCTGGGGGTCTCAGTGCTGTCTCCAGAGGCCACCGACGAGCCAGGGAGAGGGCACAGGAGGGAACGTCTCGGCGATTCAAACCACAGGCAGGACCCAATTGTTAAAAAAATAGGACTAGGTTTAATACCTAAGCCTCTGTGAAGTTACAAAGGCATCTTGGGGTTGGATCCCAGAGCCCCAAGAGTGTGAGCTGTGAGTGGGGCCTCCACTCTGATATGTACAGACTCCCCTAAAGGGAAACGGTCCCGCCGGGATGCCACAGACCTGGCATTCTTGCAGCTGGGTTTGTGCACGATTCTTCTGTGGGTCCCCGCGACTGGGGCTGGGCCCTCACGCCCCAGTCACACCGAGGAGTGATTCAGGAGGGAGTTCTGAATGTCTTCCAGGACTTGATAGAAGAGCTCCTCGCGGGACTTGGTGCCATCCAGGTACACTGCACCAGAAAGGCCATGGTCAGGGGCAGGGAGAACTGAGCTGTGCCCAGGAGATAGGTGGCCAGCTCACAGGGAGATGGGCAGACCAGGAGGAAGTTGCCCTGCAAAGTTGAGCTGCTTGAACAGTCCTCCAGGGCCAAAAGCAAGAGGGGCTGGTGGTGAGACTCGAGGAGGGACTGCCAGGTTCCCCAAATGGTCCCGAATGGGGAGGGGCCGGGTTCATCGCACTCAGGGTCTTACCCACTTCCACATTGTTGGCCTCCATCTCCTGCTTATACTTCTGGTACATGGGCCACACATGGCCATCGAAGATGCCAGGGGGATCGGGGACTGTGTAGTTTCTAGTACTGGGGAGAGAGAAGAACAAGAATGAGTGACACCCATGTTGCCCACGGATGGTACCCTGGGCAGAGACTGGGGAGGTGTAGATGAGGTCAGGGATCACCAAGAAAAGGGACCCCAGCTGAGGTCTGGATGCTCCAACTTCCAGCATTCCATGGGCCTAGGAGATGCTGGCCCTGTACCAGCCAGCTGCATGCCTGCTGCTCATCAGACTCAGTGGCAGGGCAACCCATGTTTAAGGGGCTACATCCAGGCACCTGATCCCACCTGGGCGGCCAGACGGGCCAGGGAGCACGGCCGCAGCCCCGGCTCACCTTCTCCTCCACTTGCTCTCTTCGTATGGCACCGTCAGGAAGTACCTCCGGCTGTACAAGTCCAACAGGGGCCTGGGTGGGGTGGGACACGCGATCAGTCCCCATGGGAGTCAAGACCCCCCAGTCTCCAGCCCCCAGCTTGGCTTCTAGCGACGATCTCTGGGGGTGAGGGTTGGGGGTGTGTGAGTGGGATCTGGGCTGATTGGTTTTAGGGGTCAGGGAGGGAATAGCATCAGCCAGCCTACACATGCCCCGGCAGCCGCCCACAGCAGCTCCGGATTCAGACAACCCAGAGGGCACAATGTGTAGCCCAAGGTCACACAGCAGGACTGGGAGTCCGGGAGCCTATGCTCTGCCTGAGAAAGTTGAGGGTCTAGAAGGAGAAGTCAGTTTCCTGAAGAAGCGTGGTCACATGCCCCAAGCCCTGGATCCGAGCCCAGCCCTGCCCTCCACTCCAGGTCCCCGGGGTCTTTTTCTCCCCTCTGGGGAAATTGAGACTCAGCAGCCCCTGGGGGGCCTGGAAGGTCGCAGGCCGCTGCGTGCAGAGGCTCACTTGTAGCTGTAGAGCAGGAAGCCTTCCAGGAGGAGGATGTGGGTGTCTGACGCATCGGTCTGGACACTGACCCCATGGGCTCGGGCGAACTTCTGGGGGTTGCTCTCCCAGGCCCGCACGGTGCTCAGCATGGCGTCCATGTTCAGGGACTCCAGCACTGGGGACGAGAGCAGGTGTACCCAAGGGGGCCGGGGCCCAGGCCCATCTCAGGAGGGGGCGCCAGGGCAGCCCTCTGTCCTTACCGTCCCATTGTTTGAAGCCGTCCTCCCCAACTGCTATTTGGTCTTGGGGCTGAAACAGAGGAGCCCATGCCCCAGGTTCAGTGCCCTCCTGCCCACCTCACCCCCGCCCTGGGGTGACAGGGTCTCCACAGGCCGCTGGGTGGCCGCCCCCTCTCCCTGCTGTTGATGCTCACAGGCTCTGGGGTCCCGGGGCGGGGGTCGGGGCACCCCAGGGACTCATGAGACCAGGAGGGAGGGGGCTTTGTATCCTCATCTTGTCACCCTTCACCTTCCACAAAGCATCGAACTCTTGATGGCAAAGTGGGGGTGCAGAAGGATGAAAGATTCTTGGGGTGAGATTACCATCTGCTCTGGGAACTCCCCTGGCCCTCCTGGCTCAGGTTAGCTCAGGCAGGACAGTGAGGGTCTGCACCTACCCCTGCGGGCAGTGAGCAGTAGGGGTGGGAGGGACGGGACCCGGATGCTTCCCCCTAATTTCTTTCTCAAGGGGCCATCCCCACCCCCACCTCTGGGTGAGGGCAGCCACCTTGAAAAAATCATCCTGGTGAATCACACAGCAGTTGGGCAGGGACTTGAGCAGGCTGTTGGTCAGCGTGGTCTTGCCGCCATTGGTGACACTGTGGGGAGAGCGAATCCCTGAAGATGCTGCCTGGGGGGACCCCCCACACTGCTGATGGAGGAGCCTCCCTGCAAACAGGCCTCCTCGGAATCAGACCCTGATGTCAAACTCCAAATTGTAAAACCCGCCGAGAGTCAGAGGGCCTTTTTAAACAGAAGGAAGGTTAAAAGCATGAAAGGGGGAAAAAAAAAAAAAAAAAGGCAGCATCATTCAGCCCTAGGGAGCAGGACACGGAGCCCTGCTGTAGTTTACACTCATTCATTGTGGCTGCAATCGCGGGGCTGGGCCACCGGTTTCTGTGGACAGAACTCCAGGCGTGACTCCCAGGGAGGCTTAGGAAACAAGGCAAAGTGTTAAAACACCTGTTAGTAAGATGAGGTCTAGCCACACTCTTCACCGGGGAGAAAGGTGAAATACAGTCATTTTCAGCAAAATGGAGGGAATTTGAGGGAGTTACGCGCAGTAAAGCAAGTTACAGGACATCTACATACTAGATGACTTGCTAAAGAGAGACGGCCTCTTCCTTCAGGTTTTGCAAGCTGCCAATTTTCCTGTTGCAAATATTTCATTCTCCCCCACTTTGTTTTACCATTTCCCCACCACCCCCCGGTGCAACTCCTGAGCTTTTCTCCTTCCACCGCCCTCCCAACCTCAGAGCCCGACGGGGTTTGCTTACTGGGGAAAAAGTGCTATTGGCAAGGTGGAGTGACCGCGCGCTCAGGGGTGCCCCCACTCCCCTGGTTTTAGCTGTGACCATCCTTGGGTCGGTCACCCAGGGAGCAAGGGCTCTCGGCTGACTCCTGGGCTCAAGGAGGTCAGACAGATGGAGGTCAGAGAGGGCACGGTCAGAGCTTTTCTGGAAAGGAGTGTTCCTTGACAGGGTTATCCCTGTCCGGGGACTCAGTGGTGCAAAATTGGCAGAACAGGAGAGATTGCAGCCATTGAAAAGGGGACCACCCATATATTGGGGGTGAGCGCACACCCCATATTAATTTGGGTCCGTACTGAAAGACACATCTTGTGCTGGTAGTTTGCTTTAGAATGTGGAGCCCCCACTCCTTCAAACACTTTAGGAAGTTCTAGAGAGTGCTGAACTGCAGGCAGGGGCCCTGGGCAACCGCCTGGGGGGAGAGTGGCAGCCACCTCTTCCCCCCCCAAATGCCTTCCGGCCATTTAAAAGCATTTCTTCTCCTGATGCAGAGCGGGCATCTCCAGGAGAGGGAGAGGCCCCTGCCAGAGGTCACCAGGCGTGGCCAGGATGGACGGCAGGCGCCGTCACATGGAAGGCCTTTCTGGGGTCGCCCCACCTGCTGGCGTGTGCCCCTGGAGTGGGGAGATGTTATTCCCACCCCCAGCAGGGTGCGGGTGAGATGTCCCCCACTCCCAGCACCTCCCGCCCCTCAGGACGCCCCGGGTTTTAGGAGGGTCTCCCAGAGCTTTGCATAGTCCCCACTGACTTCAGTTTGACACTGAGCACAGTTGGGGAAACTGATTTTCTTTTGGGAATGGAAATCTGGGCCCTGCGCCTCGCACCCTCTGCCCCTGGGGAAGCCCAGCGCCCGGGGCCCGAGGTCCCTCCACTGCCACAGGCCTTGGGCGGTGGCCCAGGCTGCTGCAGGTGCCGGGCAGCCTTCCATTCATTCCCGGGCCTCCTCCTCCGTCCAGGGCGCCCCCGAACCCCATCCCCCCTCCGGCCCCCTCCCCCGCGCTCCTCTGCGCCTTCCCGCGGGGCGCCTGCCCGGCGCTCACCCTCCGATGCCCACTATGTGCTTCATCTCCGCACGGAGGGCGGCGGGGACCGCGCTCGAGGCCACTCCCGGCACCTGGCGGGGCCCGGCCTGCAGTGCCCGGCGCGTCCCGACTTCATTGAGGGACCCCGCGCCTTTATAGGCCGGGGCGCGGGAGGCCACCCCGGGGAGGCGGCCCTCGTGGCCCGCGGCCTATGGGGAGCAGCCGGCGGGGAGGGGGCGCGGGGCGCCGCACCTGTTCCCACCCGATGGAAATAGCTCCGCGACGCCTTTGCCTAAATTAGTCACGGGTCGCCGGGAGGGGGCGGGGAGGGGGGTGCGGGTGGATGTCACCCCAGCTGCCTCTCCCCGCCTCGCGCTCTCTGGTTCCTTCCCTCTGCGCCCTCCCTCCTTCCCCCTCGGAGCCAGAGATAACCGGCCACACCTCTTCTCTCCCTAAAAATACCCCGCTCGGCTGCGTCCCCTGCCTTGACCCTGACTTTAGGAGCCGCCCGTCCCCCCCAAGCTGCAGCTCCCATCGGCTCAGCGGCGCGCGGGTCCCAGAGGCTGAGGTGCTGGGAGAATTTCCCTTTCCAGGGGGGTCCGGGCCAACATGGGCTTAAGGTCTGGCGTGGTGAAGCCCAAAATAGCTTTGCTCTGACGACTGGGGGGCCGTCAGAAAAATGTCTGCGTGACACCAGGGATCTTCATCCTTCATCGAGTGCTCAGGTGAGGCCTGGGTCACTGGATGTACCCTCAGCTTCTCAGCTGCCTGGGGCGTGGTGGGCATGACCTGTCATCCCTGCTCTGTACCCCCAAGCCAAGGGGCCATGACCTTGGTCAAGTTGGCAGTCACTTGGCAGGACCCACATTCAGACTGGGTGAGAGGCCCCTCCCCACCCCCCATGGACCTTTTGGTTGCAGGATTGAGGGCCCTGAAGACCTTTTGTTTACAAGGATTATAGTTACTGGTGATATTTACCACGTTATAAATCAAAGCTTTTTATTTAAGAACATTTATTGACATTTTAGAATGAGAACCATCAGCCATTACGCGGTTAGGTAAATATGTATTTTATGAAAAAAAACACTAGTTTTTAAAATAACCTTTAGAGAGTGATCGTGATAAAAAATTTTTAAATGTGCATGGAAGGACATTATTAAGAAAGTGAAAAACTAGGGAAGGAGAGAAAATATTTGCCATTTTCATATATTAGCCGTGTATCTGGTAAGGGTTTGACGTCTAGAACACTTAATAAAGAGGGCCTTTCTGGTGGCACAAGGGGTTAGGCACCACACTATGAAGCAATTTGCAGCTTCTGCAGCACGAGTTCGATCCCTGGCCAGGGAGATACCCACATGGCACAGTAGACCTCTCCTGTCTATCTGTGCTCCCCTCAGCAGTGTATTTCAGTAGATCTGCCTGTTCTGCTCCTAACTCTGTCTCTGGGGACTGTTCTCCCCCCACCCCTTGCCTGTACCCCAGGCAGAAGGTACAGGTGGCCTTGATGGGCGTTTTCCAAGCTAGTCCTTCCCTCTCCTCCTGTCCCCACCTTAAGCCCAGCCCCACTTCCTCTCTCTCCCTCTCTGAGCCTTGGTTTTCTCTCGTTTGGCAGCTGGCTGGATCTGTGACCCCTGAGTTCCACCACGTACCAGCAGGCGGGAGGGAAACCCCAGCTCTAGGGATTGACCTCTGGCCCAGTTTCGAGGCAAGAATTTCTAGGAGCCTCCGGTGGAGCACATGACCTGGGCCACAGAGACAGTGACAAGCTCAGCACCAAGGCCCTGGTCAGCGCCCCTGGAGCCCTTCTGGTTGACTCATCTGGCACAGAGGCTCCCAGTGCAGCCTTCCCAGCCCCCAGGCGGCACTCAGGGCCAAGGTCAGTGAAGACTGACCTTTCTGCCACAGGGTGTGTGATTCCCTTCACGTAAAATAGACAAAGCAGACAAATCCATGGACACAGAATGGTGCCAAAGGCTGGGGAAAGGAGATGGGGAGGCTGCTAGTGGGGAGGGGTTTCCTTTTGAGGTGATGGAATGTTCTGAAACTGGATAGAGGTGGTGGTTGTATAACACTGAATACACCAAATGCCACTACTGGTAAATTAGGAGAGAGACAGAGTGGGGAGCAGTACGGGTGTACTTAATGAATTATACTGCTCAGGGGAGCAGCAGGCGAGACAGGAAAGTTCTGCTGCGCCGTGTGGGCCAGCGCCCTGGCTGGGGATGGAATTCCTGCTGCAGTGGCTGCCCATAGCTGCATTGTGCTGAGACTCAACCCCCTGTGCCACCAGGGAAGCCCCTGTGTTAGGTATTATAAATGCATTCTTACAATAAAGTAACCTGTAGAAAATATGAAGAAAATCGTGGAAGAAAAAATACACCTACAGTATTTTCAACTGTGCAGTGTTCAAGGGTGTTGTGTATTTATTGGAAAATATCTACATATAATTGAACCCAGACTGTTCAAGTTCAGCTGTGACTCCAGACAGAAAGAGGTGGTACTTAATAAGCTCTTGAACCACACCCGAGTTTAAGCTAAATGAGGTGATTTTCGGAACACCCTGTAACCATGTACGGGGGCAGGGGGACCCGCCGTGGGATTAGAGGGATGAAACCGTGACCCCTTCTCCTGGCCTCCAGGGAGAGGAGGGGACTGGAGGTTGTATTAATGACGCATGACCAACAACTTAGTGCCTACAAGATGCAGTCCCCAGAGGGGCCCCTGAATGAAGGGGCTCAGAGGGCTTCCTGCTGCGGGCGGGAAGGTGGCTGGAGAGGGCATCTCTTTCCTGTCTCTGCCTGAGTTCCATTCTTTTATAGTGAATTGGAAATCTAGTAAGTGAACTGTTTTTCTGAGTTTTATGAACCTTTCTAGCAATTATGGACTCTGAAACAGGGAGGGTGTGGACAGAAGTGCGGGTAACCTGAGGACCCACTACTTGCCACCTGAAGTGGGAGCAGTCTCGTGGGGCTGAGGCCTTACACTGTGGGGTCTGCACACACTTCGGTAGCTAGTGTTAGAAATGGAGTTAACTCGCAGGCCACCCGCTGGTGTCTGTTCAGAACTGGAGGTTCATTTACTTGGAATCCCCCACCCACACCCCCAATCTGGTGTCAGAAGCGCTGGTGAGAGTGTAAGAAGGAAATTGTTTTTTCTTTCAATTATTTCAATAATAACATTAACTGTCGACTAGGTTTGATACTAGAGAGGATTGGCGCAGGGAAGGAGCTTGAATCACAGGGAAGCAGAGCCAGAGGGCCTGGAGGCTAACCCGCTGCACCCCATTCTGCAGATGGGAGATCGAAGCAAGGGAAGACAGACGTGGCCCAAGGTGGCCCAAGGTTGCATTGCATGGAGCTGTGCCCGCTCCAGGGTCTTTTAAAACTGCAGCATGTCGGGCCTCCCCTGGTGGCGCAGCGGTTGAGCGCTGGGCTGCGAAGCTGCCCTCAGCCTCTGCAGCGCTGGTTCAATCCTTGGCCGCCGGCAAGGGTCCCACATGGCGTGACAGCTGCTCCCCTCAGCAGTGTACTTCGTCAGTCTTCTGTTCTGTTCTCCGCTCTGGCTCTGGTGAATTCTCTCACCTTCCTGCGTTTCTGACTGTGCCCATTGCTTGTATAAATAAATAAATACATCTTTAAAAAACAAAACAAAACTGCATCACATCTACGACCAGCGTCGAATCCCTTGGAAATGGACAAAAGTCACAATTCTCCCTTCTCAGTTACGGTTTATTTATTTCACATAAAAACCCCCCATAGCTTATGGAAATGATGTCTTCACATCACGACAGTAATCATAATGAATTTTTTTTTAAAAACTGCAAAACTTGCCTCTGGAAGTATGGGCGTGTGCACTAGGACTCGGGGGGAGGATTTATGATGCATCCCACTTGTCACAAGAACCCAACGCCCCTTTATGACAAGGACTCAGGGTCTGTTGCATTTTGACCAAACCTGCCCCACAGTTACAGCAGGTCCTCAAATAACAATGTTGCCTCGACATAACATTCATGAGCCGACGCTGAACAAAGCACTGCCGTCGGAGGGTCTGAACTTCTCTCGTCATTTCGAGGCCCAGGTTTTCAGGACTTCACGGACAACATTAGTGAGGACTTACTGCACAAACTATTACAAAGTCAGCTTTGGGACGGTGCAGGCAGTAGCCTGAGTGGGCACAGTGGCCGTTTGGACAGAGCTGTGGGGCGGGATTCTCACACCTGTGGACAGGTGGCCGACCTGGGCCCTGCGGGTCTCTCTTTATTCCGAGGGGTTGATGTGTGCTGAGTCGGGGTCCTTGGTGCCTCTTGCCCATTGTCTGTGGCTGCTGGTGGTGCAGAGAGCTGGCAGGTGGGCCACGGTGAACCAGTGGGTCCCTGTTAGAATTTCTGGTGCAGCCAGAGTTAGCCCGCAGCTTCCTTGACAGGATGAGGCTGCCTCAGTGTCTCTCAGGCCCGGCCTTCCAGGAGTTATTGCGTTCATTGGCATGGGAGTTTGGGGCCTTCTGGGCCACATGTCCCTCTCAGATCAGCAGCACTGGCCACCTTGATCTGTTGGGGAGGGTACCAACTGGACCTGGGTTGGCGAGGGCTTTTGGGGAGCAGCTGGAAAGGTCCACCACCACCTCTGCTGCCTCCAGCTCCAGGGTGACACACCCAAACCTGGAACACCATCTTTTATTTGACAACTGGGAAGCAGAGAAGAAACACCTTCAAAAAGTTCCACCTGGCCCCCAAATGTGCCAGCTTTTCCAGGATATGTGCCAGATGTGGGCCTGCGCCCCCTCAGAAATCTGGCATTTTTCAAGGTGGGAGCTGCTGGCATTGGGGTCCCTCCTTTGTGGGGACCCTCTCTTCAGTGGCAGACTTTTGAGCACCCCTTTCCCTCAGCACTAAGTGCCATTGGCTCCCTCTTGTCTTTGGGATAATCCCATATGTACCCCCTTACCAGCCCGGGTTGAGAAACATTCCACAGAAGCACTGAGGTCAAGAGCTTCATTCTTGAATGGTGGGGCCAGCGGACCAAACCTTGGTGACGCTTATTAGGAGCCGGCAGAGGCTCCTGGAGGATGTGCCCGCTCAGCTTTTGCTCAGATTCACAGAAATAGACTCTTGGAATTCGAGGTAAGCATAAGGGCCACTTTCTGCAAGCACCGTCTGGCCTTTTTCTTAAATACCTGCAGAGACGGGGAACTCACTACCTTAGTGGCCACCTGACTGCTGTTTGGACATTGGAAAATGTCTTTCATCCCAAGGAAATCTGCCTCCTTTGACTGTACAGCATCCAGGTCCCTGGGATTTATTTGCCCAAGTGATGTCCTCAACATTCAAATGTCCAATATCCCATATCTTACTTTGTCTCAGTCTGTGTTTCCAGGATGAGTCTATTTCAGTAGTTGGCTCCTCAGCCTCCGCTCTAAGGGGGTGTCAGGGGCACGTCCTGATCCTGCCTGGGGGGATTTGGGGACAGCTCATTCTGCCTATAGGAGGTATTGATTGAGATTGCCCTGTGGTGTGGCATCCACATTGAACAGGTTCTAGATTGAGGGGGAGGGGTGTGTTTTTGCAGCTGTTGGACAAGGATGATTAGCAGGGGCTCTCACTTGTGCTGTGGGCTCTGATGCTCCCAAAGTAGGTGGGTGTTACAAGGAGGTTATGAGGTCAAAGGTCAGGAAGTACCCAGGGATAGCCCTGCTTGGGGGCTCAGCTTCCCGGCCAGATGCCCAGAGTTGTGAGCGCTGTTCTGGAAGGAAAGGCACAAGAACGAATCCAGACCCACCCAGGGAGTCGGTGGGTAACTGTGGCTCTGACCGGAGCCAGTGACAGATAAGAGAAAGGTCTTGAACTGGGGCTTTGTGCAGTGGGAGGGTTTTGAGGCCCTGGGGGTGGGGGAGGAGCAGGAGCAGAGGCCACTACGGACACAGGGGCCACTCCCTGCAATTCCTGCTCTTCTCAGCCATGAATTCATGAATGTGGAAAGGTGGAGGGCTGAGAACGGGGTCCTTTTCCAGAATGCACTAATACTGCATTGTTTAAAAAGATGTTTTCAAGCAGCTAAGAAGAATGTTGAGTTTCAAATGTGGATGAAGATACTGGCACTCTGTGAAGACTTAACTCGGGATGAGGCAGGGACAAGGTCTGGGGCCAGAGGGCATCTGACAGAGGTTTTCTGGCATCTGGAATCTTCCTTCACGTCCATGTCTATATTCACCCAACTCAGGACATGCTGGAGAGGGAAAAACAGAGTTAGTGGGAAATGCTGTTCTATGTGTCTGAAACCTAAAAGAATGAAGTAAGGCAACATTGGGAGCCCTCGACAGCAAGAATGGCCCCTGGACGTCAAGATCTCATAGCTGCCACCCTCGTTCCAGTTCTGAAGAGAACCCAGCAAAAGAACAGGCCCTTCACTTCAGAGCGAGGCTTCAACTCGCTCATCTGCTCATCCTCCCTCACTGCCCATGACCCAGCCGTGCGTCCATCACCCGTCCAGTCATCACCCGTCCATTCATCTGTCCTTCCACCCCACAGTTTCTTTCTTCGTGTCTGCAACCACTTTAAACATGCTTATTTGATCATCCCTATTTGAGGATTTTTGGGAGGGGATCTGATTCTGCTCCTTGTTATATGTGCCGACTTTCACCCATGGTGGATGACTCCCTTGTGTCTTCTGTCGGGGGATGAGAATTCATCTCCAGAAGGCATGGATTGAGAGGGTCCTGCCCGAAATGCTTTGCGGGCTTGCTTTTCAGTGTCCCGGGGGACAGTACTGGTCAAAGACCATTTTATTTCTCAGCTTGGGGCTTCCTGAATCACATGGCAGTACGAAGGCATGCATTCAGGCCGCGTTAAAGGTTTTTAAGAAGTGTGTGGTCAAGGACAACCCTGCACATTCCAAAGAACGCTTTGGCCCTTGCCTGGTTCCTGGGAGGTCTCTTCTAAGCCCTTAGCTTGATCAGTGTCTTTATTTGCTGGGACTCGGCGCACACCAGAGTGTATGCTAACCATGTGATTTAGGGCGGGGCTCTTTGTGATCAGCTCAGCTTCTGGAAATGCTTAGGACTAAAGTCAGCCACCTGGGGGGTCAGGCGTGCTGGTATGATCACCCCCAATGAATATCCTGCAAACCAAGATCAGGTGAGCCTCCCAGGTTGGCAACATTTGGTGGGTATTGCCTATGTTGTTGCTGGAAGAATGACGGGGTGTCTGAACAGCGCCCCTGGGAGAGGACCACGGGAAGCTCACACCTGGTCTCTCGTGGTGCGCGCACCTTCTCCTGCTGCTCGTTTTCGTCTGTACCCGTCCTTGCACCATGCTCAGCATACGTTGAGCATAATGGCTCTCGTGTCTTTGGGACACAGAAGCAGGAACCAGGTGGAGACACCGGGACAGGCCGTGGGCCGCCTTTGCACCTTCGCTGAATTATATCCTGAACGTCTGGGGACCAGTGCCAGGGGGGCATCCTTTGGTGCCACATGTTGCTCAGCTCTGGGGCCTCATGTTAATGGTGCCTCCTTGGAGCTCGGCAGGGCAAGGGTGTCCTGCCACAGGGAGGCCCTGTTGTCATGGCAACCACGGTCTCCCGGTCTCCCTGGCAAATACACCCCCTACCCGCAAACAACAAATCATGGGGCAGTAGTCACAGCGGTGTAGACGCGACTTCAAACATCAAAAAAAAAAAAGGCAGAGAGGTCACTCCCCTTTCCACACTCACCTTGTTTCCTGATCTTCCGTGACCAGAGCAGACCTGTGGGAGAGGCAGGGAATCTCAGCATGATTTCCCTATTCTGGGGGAGACTTGGCATCTGGCTCTGAGCCCCGGGAGGGCCCACACTGTTTTGTCTTCATCTGGTACAAAGCACTAGCACGTGTGTGCTGGGAACAAATGGCTGGGACAGGCAGTGACGGAGACCAGGTCCTTCCAGGGACACAAAACGATACCACTAACACTGCTCAGGGTGCCCCAGGCCGGGGGAGGCTGAGCCACCCATGGGGATGCCATGGGGATGCTGGCACTTTCTTCTGGGAGGAAGGTCTGATCTCACAGCGGCAGGGCCAGAGCCAGGTGTCTCACCGTCCCCGAGGCTGGCCAGTAGAGGCTTGTTGGATTTTAAAAAAAGAAGGGAGGGGGGTGTAGGGTAAGTGAACTGGTCCAGCTTTTTGCACCTCTAACCTCTGTGGCTCTCCCCTGTGGCCTTGGTGGAGTTAACACAGAAGGAGCCTGGGAGGGTGGGCATGGGGCATGCGTGCCTGATTGTGGACACCTGGCGTATGGGTGCGGGCCTGCGTGAGTGTGCACACCTGAGCCTGGAGGCCAGCTAGATAAGGCAGCATTACTCAGAAGATGGCCACAAGAGGGAGGGCAGCTGCAGAGGCAGAGACCATAGGAGAAGGCCCGAGAAAGCCCAGAGGAAACTGCACATTCGCGGGGGGCTACGTTGCTGTCTGGAACCAAAGGTGAACCCACCCCGCCCGGGATGGTTGCAAAACAGGGGGGAAGGGCTGAATGGAAGCAAATGTTTAATGTTGAATGGTATAGGGTCTCCTTTTGGAGTGATGGAATGTTCTGGAATTAGAGAGAGGTGATGGTTGCACAGCCTTGCAAATGCACCAAGTGCAGCAAATCCAGCACTTTAAAAGGGCTCATTTGCTGCATGTTATGTGACTTTCACCGCAAAAACAAACAAACAAACAAAAAACCAAACAAAAAAAAAAAAAAAAAACAAGGGAGAAGGCAGGAGGCTTGGGACACGTAGTTCTACTTTCTGTCCCTTGACGGAGGCCAAGTTTTCTCCCCAGGCCCCCCAGGGTTCAGCAGCCAGTGGTAACTTGGGCATTTACCTGTCCTCCTCTGGCTCCACCTCTGGCTTCTCTTCAGACCTGGGCAGGACAAATTCCGGCTGCGGCCGCACGCTGGGGTCAGAAAGAGGGGGTGAGGCAGGACAAGCCAGTGCGGACTCGGGGCTCTCAGCTCCCACTGCTGCCTGCACTGGCCTGTCTGGAGTGTGACCTGGGAGGTTGTTGCTAGGGGGAAGTGTGGCCCCAGAGTCTGCCCCACCACTGCCCAGGGGGATTGAAGCTGGAGGTGACCGTGAGGAGGACGGTGTGGGCCTGAGCGGGGAGAGGCAGGCCCTCGGCCCTCCTTTGGAGCACTTATCGCTGCACATCGCTGGGGAAGGACTTATCCACGCGCGGGGAAAACTGCCCCTTCCCAGGCTGTGATGCGGAGGGTGGGCCCTGCGTCCTGTCTGTCCCCGACCACAGCTGAGGCATGGGGCGGGAGGAGAGTCATGTGTACACATACACACACACACGTGTACATAAAGAGAGACACAGCTATGGAGAGACAGAAAAGACAGAACGACAGGGAGACAGAGAAGGGAGCTACAGGAGGGAGGAAGAAGGGAGGAAAAATAAAAAAGGCCGGTGGACAGACCCACCTCACAGCCATGGGGATGGCCAGTGCATAGCAACAGAGAGGAGCAATGGTGGGGGTTGCAGCGGAGAACCCTGGGAGGAGCTCAGCGTGGAACCCTGAGCACTGCTGGTGGGAAGGTAAAATGGTGCAGGCTCTAGGAAACCAGAATCATGGTTTCTCAAAAAACCAAACAGATAATTACCACACACACCCAAAAGAATTAAAAACAAGGACTTAAATAGACATTTGTAGGTCCACATTTGTAGCAGTGTGATTCACAACAGCTGAAATGCGGACACAACCCAAGGGTTATTGAGGGAGGAGAGGGCGCACGTGGTGTGTCCATCCAGATGCGGGAGTAGTATCCAGTCATAAAAAGGAAGGACCCTCTGACAGCTACAGGGTGAATGGACACGAGGACATGGAGCTCAGGGCCATCAGCCAGACACAGGGACAAATGCTGTGTGATCCACTCATGGGTGGGGCCGGGAGTCACATCCAGAAAGACAGGAGTGGATGGTGGTGCAGGGGCTGGGGGGGTGGGAGTAAATGTTTAATGGGGTCGAGCTCCAGTTGAGGAAGATGGGAAAGTTCTGGAGCTGGAGGGTGGGGACAGCTGCACAACAGTGTGTGTTTAGTGCCACTGGTATGCTTCAAATGGCTAAGAAGGTACATCTTATGTTACTTGTATTTTGCCAAAATGAAAAAAAAAAAAAAGACAGGATGGAAGGAACAAGAAGGCACAGGTGAGTCCTACCTTCCTGCAGCTGCCCCGCCCTCCAGCCACCTCTGGCTGGTCCACCCTCCATCAGTATTAAATGTCTCTGGGTGACACAGTCATGCTTTTGCTTATTATGTGTCTCCTCTGCTGAACCCCCTTCTTATCTCCTGGACTCCCCGTCCTGGCAAGCCATACCCCTCCTTTGCTGTCAGAGGAAACTTCTAGATCTGGACTCTGTCTTATTTGCCTCTGTCTCCCGCAGGGCTGGCAGTGATGCTCACTCGCGACCCACTCAAAGTCTGGTTCTCTCAGGAACTTGCTGGTGGCCTCGGGCAGGTAGGTGCCTCGCCAGTGTGAGTCTCAGATTTCTGGGCCATAAATGCCAACAGGCAGCCTCGCCCTGCCCAGCTCTCGGAGTGGGTGGGAATGTAGCCGGGAGGGCCAGGGAGGCCTGAGGCTCTGTGAGCACTGCTCAGGGTATGCCGCCAGCCATGTTAGTGCAGGAACGTTTCTGGGTTGGTCAGCGCTGAGTAGGGCTTGTGTCCCTCTGTAAAGGGGAAACTTAATATTCTCTTTGCTGCGGTGACTCCTGTGGAGCCCACCATTTTGTCCAGTGGGTTGCACGGTTCCTGATTTCTTACCGTAACTCCTAAGGAGGTTGTGAAGTTTTTCATTGTCTAATATCACTCCAATTGGGGACTCAAACCCAGGTCTGACCCTAACCCCTCGAAAGAAGGGCATGAGCTCCTGAGCCGTCTGTATTCATGACACTGACGTTAGGTCCTGCGGAGCCTAAACCACCATTCGGCCCTAAGTGTGACCCTGGCTCAGCCCTGACCCAAACTTACACAGACGTCTCCCTCCGGGCCTTGAGCCTTTCCTCGTCATACCTGGAAGAGAGAAGGGAAGCAGGTGAGACACAGCCTCCCTCACCTGCAGGGAATCCCCTCCCCTTCGGAACCAGAGAAACAATTCTCTGTCCTAACTGAACGCACACCAATCTGTAGAGATATTTTTACACCCATGTTCACAGCCAAGACATGGAAACATCTCGGGTGTCCATCGGTGCATGAATGGATAAAACAAATGTTAGCGGTCAAGTGTCCCTGAAAGACCTCTCTGTCACCGGGACCACGCGTGCCATGGTCCCGAGGGCCGGCGTACCATCCAGGTCTGTGACTCCACTGCATGACTTTGTCACAATGGTGCAACCTCTTAATGATGCATTTCTCGGAAGGTGTCCCCAGAGAGGTCGGTGACTGTACAGACCAGGGAATATTACTCACCCTTAAAAAGGACACAGCTGCAGTGGGGATGGACCTTGAGGACATGTTGCTCAAAAGGACACGCCCTGTGTGACCCACTCAGAGGAAGGCCCTGGAGGAGCCACATCCAGAGAGACAGGAAGTGGATGGTGCGTGCCAGGGGATGGGGGAGGGGAGGGAGTTAGTGTTTAATGGGGACAGAGCTCCAGTTGGGGAAGATGAGAAAGTTCTGGAGCCCGAGGGTGGGGATGGCTGTACAAAAATGTAAGTGCTTAATGCCACTGAGCTGGTTAGATGGCAAAATTTAAATTATTTTACTGCAATTTGATATAATGCTAGTGCAAAATAACAGGAAACACAGCTGTTGTCCTCAAGTTCTGGGTGGCCCAAGGGTCGGCAGGATGTGGAGTGTGTGGGCCCCCATCCCCTGTGGTGTGCTGACCCCCTCTTGGCAGGCTTTGGGGGGCTGGGGGTGCAGGGGTTGCCCGTGCCGGGACACTCACTGTAGCACGCAGTCTGGGATCTGCACGTGCTCCATGGGGATGAGCTGCTCCAGGTCTTCCAGGCTATGCACATACTGGATCTTGTTGATGAATTTGACACTGGCAGGAGAAGAAGGAAGGGGTATCTGAAGTCCTACCTTGGGCTTGGTTGCTTAGGGCCAGAAGGAGCCAGAGCTCACAGGGGGTATCCACACAACCTGATTCCAGGCGCCTCTCCCCAGCCTGCCCTCCCCGTCCATGGCAGCCTCGACCTCCTGCCCCTCGTGGGTGGGTGGACAGAACAGAACTGGGGGGTTCTTGCCCTGCAAGAAGGGTACCCAGGGTCTCCTTGGTGCAAGGGGTTAAGTCTCAACACTATCCATAGCCACTGCAGCATGAGTTCAATCCCTGGCCAGGGAGCTGACCCACATGGCACAGCAGACCTCTCCTGTCTCCCCACTGCTCCCCTCAGCAGTGTATTTCAGTCAATCTGCCTGTTCTGTTCCCCACTCTGTCTCTGGTGAAGCCTCTCACCCCCCACACCTCTGGCCTGCACCCCAGCTCTTGTATGCAGAAATCAATAAATCTTAAAAAAAGAGAGAAGGGTCCCCAACCCCCAGGAGCATCAGATATGGGTCCTTGCCGAGTTGAGGAAATTGTTTGAAAGGAAACAGAAAGGCAAGACAATCTACCAGATTCTTGGCTGTTTTTCCATCCTCCTAGGACTGCTCCTGAGCCTTAATTTCCCACCAGGATGCTTTCCTACCACTGCCGTCAGCACTGGGGATGGCACATTAGTCAGCAGGGCACGCGGAGGGCATGCGTGGGCTTGCTGACTCACTGGCCATTCTCTGGGGATGAACGGCCTCTTCTGCCCAGCCTGCACTCAGGTCGTCTGTCACATGGAGTGCTTTGTCACGCCACATTGCTTTGAACTCATGGTTATTCAAAAAATGTTTTAAACCTAATTTTGGTAAAATCAACTTTTTTCAAGGTTAGACAATCTTTTCTATTTTTTAAAATTAATTTACTTATACAAGCACTGGGTACAGTCAGAAGCGCAGGAGGGTGAGAGAATTCACCAGAGACAGAGCAGGGATCAGAACAGGCGGACTGACGAAATACACTGCTGAGGGGAGCAGCGGACGGCAGGAGAGGTCTGTCGCGCCATGTGGGACCCTCACCGGCGGACGGGGTTCGAACCGGCGCTGCAGAGGCTGCGGGCAGCTTCGCAGCCCAGCGCTCAACCGCTGCGCCACCAGGGGAGGCCCCTAGACAGTCTTTTCTAATGATGAGAAATATAAGGCCAAGATTATTAACTAGTATACTAATAATCAAAGAATGAAGTAACAGTTAAAAGGAGCTAAAAGGAGCACAAGGAGCTAGAAGTCTCCAAAAGTGTGTCAAGAAGTTTTATAGCTATTTTTAGAGGTTTGATAAAGGTTTGGTTCAAGCTTCCTGGCAACCAGTGTAAAGTGAGCCACGTGATGAATGATGCAGTCCAGAGCATCTAGAAAAGGACATTAAGCCAGGTACTCAGCAGAAGGCTGATGGGCGGTGATTAAGTGGAATTTCTCCCTTTGCAGTTAAGTTGGTTTCCTGGACAGAAGCCTCCTTTTTTTTTTTTTCCTTAAGATTTATTTATTTATGCATACAAGCTCTGGGGTACAGGCCAGAGATGCGGGGGTGGGGGGTGAGAGGATTCACCACAGACAGAGTGGGGAACAGAACAGTTTGGCAAGGACCCATATCTGATGCTCCTGGGGACTGGGGACGCTTCTCTCTTTTTTAAAGATTTATTTATTTCTGCATACATGGATGTCTCTCGCGGGGTCACAAAGTGGCCAGGTGTTCAGAAACGCACATCTCCATCTGCTCAACACTTTTTTCATGAAAAAAATTATCCTCAGAAAAGAGGCATCGGGGCCTCCCTGGTGGCTCAAGGGGTTAAGCACCGCACTATGAAGCAATCTGCAGCCTCCGCAGCACGAGTTCGATCCAATGCCAGCCAGGGAGCAACCCACATGGCGCAGCAGACCTCTCCTGTCTCCCCGCTGCTCCCCCAGCAGTGTATTTCACTCGGTCTACCTGTTCTGTTCCCCACTCTGTCTCTGGTGAATCCTCTCACCCCCCATCCCCGCATCTCTGGGGCTCTGGGGGTGGACTGATTGGATTTGTTAGAAAGATTTTTTATTTATTTTTAATTTTTTTATGGTGCATAGAGCTAGCGCCTGATGCTCTGAGCACCAATCTATAAATACGGGTAAAAGTCACATCCTGAGCCTGGTGTGATAACAGCTGCAGTGCCCAGGGCTGGAAGCCGACACCGAGTCTCGGTGTAACGATCCTCTGCCTGGCTGGGTCCAGCTTTCTGTGCCATGGGGGACTCTGGGGAGGGAGAATGCCAGTCCAGGGTGAGGCACATTCCCCATGTTTAGCTCATCAGAGGACAGCTAGGAGTGTTCTTCGAGGTATAATCAGTCTCTGAGGGCTGGATTGATTGCAGGTCAGCATCAGCCCACTCCCCTGCTTTCCCCACTTTTAAATAGGTAAGCTGACTTCTCTTGCCCCTCTCTACCTTTTCTTTGTTGTTTTTTAAAAAAAGATTTATTTATGCCTACAGGAGCTGGGCCAGAGGTGTGGGGGTGGTGAGAGGATTCACCAGAGACAGAGTGGGGAACAGAGAGGCAGACTGACTGAAACACACTGCTGAGGGGAGCAGCGGGCGAGTCAGGAGAGGTCTGCTGCGCCATGTGGGTCACTCCCTGGCCGGGGATCGATCGAACTCGTGCTGCAGAGGCTGCGGAGGGCTTCACAGCGCTGTGCTTAACCGCGTGCGCCACCAGGGAGGCCCTCTCTATCTTTTCTTTGAAAGCCCATAGTAGCATCCTCAAAATTTGTCATGAAGAAACTCAGAGGGAGAGAATTATCTCTATTCAAGGCCAGTGTACCTTCCCATTGTGGACACTCGAGGACGCAGGCTGCTCTGGGACGTGTGTGTTCACCCTTTTGTCTGGTGCCTTCGCCATCAGCGCAGATTATCCATAAGTAGCGCGTCAGTCACCTGACTTTTCTAATACGCAAATATTTTCGGATGCTTGGAGCACAGAACATAGGCTCCAAGGCCACCACCTTGCCGGCCTGTCATGCTGTGAGTGAGCAAGGCGAGATGTCAGAGCAACGTCTGACTCGCTATTCAACTCACCCAGCCAGATCTTTCCGCTGGGAAAGTGGAAATTAAGGATCTTGATTTAATTCAATGCTTTGAATTACATTACATTAATGTACATTCAGTTTTATTTGATTGACTAGGGCATTCAACGGGCCTCATTCTGTTCTACTCCGTCTGTATTCTTCTGGGTGCCTTCACAGACCCGTGTGGTTAGTGACTTTTTGCCGATGCATATGACGGGGCCCCAACAGGCTATGCTGCGTAGCCGAGGTGTGCGGGGCTCACGCAGGCCCCTGGGATGACGCTCTATGACTCTGGCGGGACAATACTACGGAACCAGGCGTTTCTCAGAACGCAGCCCGTTCTGTGAGGGATGCACGCACCTGCTGGAGGTGCTATAAGGGTGAGGTAAGCCAACGGGCTTGAGCGCCCAAAGTGGATTTGACCTGCATGCTTTTGCTGTTGTAACCACGAGTATAACAATCTGAGTTTTGTGAATCCTCCAATCTGAGAGTGGTTTTGGGGACTCCCCAAAACACACATGGATTGGTTTATCGCATCACTGGCCCAGAGTGGGTCAGCCCCCCTAGGGTCACCCCCCACAGCTCTGGAGTGGTGGGAACTAGGCTTGTTTCTAGGGGAGTGTGGTGGGCTAGCCATCTTGCTGTGTGATAGGGTGAGTCCCTTGACTTTTTTGAGCCTCAGTTTTCTCATCCATAAAATGGGCTTAAAAGTATCCAGCATCCAAGAGGTGTGGGCTGGTTGTTGTTATTTTTCCTTTGTCATTCAATAACAATACATGGATCTTGCAGGTGGGTTCTAGGCCACTGCAATAAAGCAAGTTGCAAATTTTGGGGTTTTCCAGTGCATATGAAAGTCATGTTTATATAATACTGTAGTCTAGTCAGTGAGACAGCGTTATGTCTAAAACACCAATACACATACCTGGGCCTCCCTGGTGGCACAGGGGTTAAAGACTCAGCACTATGAAGCTGTGGGCAGCCACTATGGCCTGAGTTCAATCCCTGGCCAGGGAGGTGACCCACAGGGTGCAGCAGACCTCTCTTGTCTCCCCGCTGCTCCCCTCAGCAGTGTATTTCAGTCAATCTGCCTGTTCTGCTCCCCACTCTGTCTCTGGTGAATCCTCTCAACCCCCCATACCTCTGGCATACACCCCAGTTATTATATGCATAAATAAATAAAAATAAATCTTTAAAAAACCCTAATGCACATACCTTACTTTAAAAATAAAGAGCAAAGTGAGTACCTGCAGTTGGAAAGTGGCCTCAGACTCAACTGACACAGTGTTGCCATAAACCTTCAATTGGTAAAAAAGGCAACATCTGCCTATACAGACTCTAAAACTTTTCAAAGCTGTGATATTCATCACAGGGGATCTAGAAAGTGCAAATGAAAAAAAAAAAGAGGTGCAGCAACCCCCATGGGGAGCTTCACAGGTCACAACCTCACCTGATGAAAGGGCGGGAGATGGCCAGCACGGTGCGGATGAACCAGGATGGGTGGACGATGATTAAGGACTTCAGATTTTTCCTCAACCTGTGTGGGGAGGCAGAGGAAGTCAGATGGCTCCCGGGGGAGCCCTTGGGGAGCAAGGAGCACAGGAGGGTCAGGAGAGGGAGTGGAGAGCAGAGAGCAGCATGCATTTGCCATTTGTTAAGTCCATGTGGTCACACTGCCTGTCAGATCCCAACCCCCGTGGTGGTGTTGGGAGTTCGTGGGGGTCCCTAAGGCCCCAGAAGCAGAGTTGGAGGAGCCCTGTGGTGCAGAGCCAGCAGCCAGACGGGCAGGAGCTGAGAGGCCAACATTGTGCAGTCATCACTGAATGTCCAGGGGTGTCCAGTCCTGCCTCCAAGCTTCCACCACTAACCTGGGGTGCAAGCATGCATCAGCTGCTTGAGTTAGAAATCGTTCATCTTGAGGCTATTCATAGTAGCCAAGAGGTGGAAACAACCCAAGTGTCCACTGACAGATGAGTGGATAAATGAAGGTTATCTATACAATGGAATACTACGCAGCCTTAAAAAGGAAGAAAATTCTGACACGTGACAGTGTGGATGGATCTGGACTGAGGACACGATGCTCAGTGAAATGAGCCAGACACAATAGGACACAGCAGTCATGGCTCCACCCCCAATAGTGTTAGGATAAAGGTTTGTCGGTTATGCATCCTTGTCTGTGCTGCGCCGTAACAGTTGCCTGAGCTAATACACAACCTTCCAGAGGAGCTCAGACTTGGGAGTCCTTGGTCCTGGGGGTGGCCCCCAGTCCCACCCACTCACCTCCTGTCAATCATCTGGTAACACTTCTTGAGCCACCCGATGCCAGGCATCTTCCGCCGGGGGGTAGCACCATTCAGGTATACGATCATATAGTCCTCCGCCACCAGGAGTTCCAAGCTGCTGATGACATACCTGGTCACAGGGCACACACAGGGTCATGACGGGGGGCCGGACTTAGGAAGTCCCAGTCAAGAGTGACCACCTGTGCTTTCACCTGCTTTACTTCTCCTGGCTGTGCTAGGGTGTTCTTGGCTATCCTGGCACACTCGAAGGTGGGGGTGGTGTGTGTGTGTGTGTGTGTGTGTGTGTGTGTGTGTGTGTGTGTGTCCCGTCCACCCTGAATGTGCATCAGTGGGCATAATGACAGAAGTAGCTGCCATTCTATCGAGCACTTAATAAATGCCAAGTGCTTTAGATTCGTGGCTACATTTACTTTCTCCAAAAGCCCTGAGTGGTCTCTGAAGCCCCAGAAACAGGCAACAACAGGCACTTACAGCAAACAGCCCACTGCATTGGACTTTAGGACCCCGGAGCCTGTCCCTGTGCCATCTCTTCCTGAATAGTTTCGGAAAAATCTTTTCCTCCATCCATCTTTATGTTGGGGGAGGGACTGGGCTGGACGCCCTGGTATCTTAGGCCACTTTCCTGTCTGACCTTCCAAGGGGACCTGCTCATCCTATGCCCTGCTGGGTAAGATGGAAATCCTCAAAACAATGATAATATGAGTAATAATGATTTATTGAGCTCTTTATGGTTATCTGTCAGGGGCTTAAGTGTACCAGCTTTCTCCCATGTAACAAAACTATGCCTATGTGTCCTCAGTTGAGTGTCTTAACCTCTCAGTGCCTCGGGCTCTGCACCTGTACAGTGGGAGACACGGACCTACCCCATGGGGCTGTGGTGAGGGCAGAGCCATTCATCACTGAGGGAGCCCTTGTGCGGCCACATAATAAATGCTCAATAAGTGAGTGACGATCATGATAATGTTGCTGCTGATTGTGCCAGTGAGGTCCAGGGGGCAAGCAGGGGACTCAGGTCCAAGTTGACCAGCTGTGACCAGCAGGCTGAGGCCACACCCACCATCTGGGACCCCCAGAACTGCCGGCAGAGTGGCGGAGGGGCACTTACAGGAAGAGGTTCTCCATGATGTAGTGGTAGTCAGGGGAGCTGCTGTCCGGAAGGAAGCAGGCAGCAAAGACAATGATGGCGTTGAGACCTTCGCCATAGTACCCTGGGGAGAGGCGGCCAGTGAGTGACCCCAGGCGGACCTGGGCAGCACCTTCTCTGAGCTCCAAGCCGGGTCTGGGTCACCCCAGGCCCTCACGGGGTCACCCCAGCCCTTCCCGCTGCCCATGTTCAAAAGGTACAGATTTGAGTCACAGCCGCCTAGCTGGGGGAGCCCGCAACCCCCGGCCTGTCTCTGCCTTTGATGGGACCACCGGCCACCCCCGTAGGCACCCCCTGTGTGCTGTCTATGCCTCGCCCCAGGCAACTTTCCACCCCTGCCCACCCAGAGACTCTGGGACTCAGATGAAGGGGCCGCTGAGCAGGCTCAGGTGCCCAGCTGGAGGCGCGAGGGGGCCGAGGGCGCGATCTCACCTCCATGGGTCACCACCCTCATGTAGGGCCGGATCATGTGCAGGTCAATGCGATGTTCTTGTTCTCCGATGATCACCGTCCGCCACAGGCGCCCGTTGGCCGCCCCGCCCTCTTCCGCAGCGCCGTCCCCAAACAGATCCGCGCTGTCCCCGGGCATGTTCTTGGCGGCGGCCACCGGGGTGTCATCTGGAAGCAGGTGGGGTGAGCAGAGCAGAAGCCTGAGTCCGGACTCCCTGAGCTGCCGGGACCGCTGAGTCCAGCTCACAGGCCAAAATGCTCCCCCGCCCTTTGCTGGTGGAATGTCAGACTGGGCGACGGGGCGAAATGGTGGGTCTGGGAGTCAACATACGAGGTCCAAAGAGTAATTTTTTTTGCAACTGTGGGATATAGGAGAGCGTTTGGGGCAGAGGTCAGGCCGCGCACCTCGGTAGAGCTGCTTTCTATGAACGACTTGCTGTGTGATCGTCCACATGTCCTTTCCCTCTCTGGGCTTTTCAGGGTATTAACGGCTCTTAAAATAGCCACCTCCTTCTCGGCTTTCATCCTGCGATCTTCCCGCCTTGGGAAATAGCTCCTCTGTATTCCTAGCTGCGCAGGTCCCGAAACCTGGTGTCACAGTCACTCACTTTTCTCCTTCCTGTCACATCCTGTCCCCCAGTGCTGTGGGCTCTGTGTCACCTCCTGGCCACCACCATGTCCTGTGAGGACATCCAGCCACCCTTCTCTGGGGCCTCCCTTCTGTCCCCAATCCCGTCCCACCATCAGCTCATCCCCCAGCCCTGCAAAGAGAACATTCCAAATACAGATTGGAAATCAGACAGGTCCACCCTGCTGCAAGTTTCCGGTGAGTTGGGAATAAAAGCCACACTCTTGGAAGTAGCCTCCTAAGCTCTGTGTGATCCATGCAGCCTCTGCTGGCCCCTGAGTCTGGCTCCTTTCAGCCCCCCATACTCCAAGCACACTGGTTGCCTTCCCCATGTTCTTGCTTTAGGTCAGCTCAAGTAACACCCACCCAGTGAGACCTGTCCCGACCGCCTTCAACCACCCCCACCATTGCCCTAGCTCATGCTCTCCCCATTGGTTTTGTGGATTTTTGAACCTGGGTCATTTTCTGGGGTGGAGCATCTCCGGCCTGACCCACTCCACGCCAGGTGCATCCCCAGTCATGACAATCACAGGTGTCCCCAGACTTCACCCAGTGTCCCTGGAGGGTGAATCACCCAGGGGAGACCCCGTGTTCCACTGACCCCAGGAGACTCTGTTCCATCCTCATCTGCCCTCTGGATGTCTTGGGAGTTGCACACATTTAAATATACACACTGAGTCAGAGGGAGAGAGGAGCAGGGGTCTACTTAGTCCCCCCTCCCCAATAATGTCAGGGCCTCTCCTGTTGGCTATGTTGATATCAGGTGGGTTGTCGGGCACTGTGGGGTGTTGGGTAGCATATAAGCCCCTACCACCCAATCATAACCTCCACAGGCATCCCGAGACATCGCCCAGTATTCCCTTGGACAGAAGTAACCTCACTGAGACCCTCTGCTCTATCCCACCACTTCACCCCAGTTCCCTGCAACCAGCTGCAATTACCTTGCACACATTTCATCTGGTGGCATCTGTCTTTCTGACCCCCTGCATGTGGCAGGCACATCCATTCCTGACACATCGCCACCGTATCCCCTGGGCCTCAGCCAACCCCAACTTCTGCATATATAGTCTACAAACACTTGCTGAATCGGTTGGCGGCACTTTGTTTTGATCTTGGTTGCTTTTGAGACTCAGATGAAATCTGTTGCCCCAGAAAAACCCACTAGAGAAATATGCATGAAGTCAGAGGGGCAGATAACCCTCAGGTGTTAGAACCCCAGCCCCACCCAAGCTTGTGGACTTGCATGGATGGCTCCAGTAAGCTGGTCCAGGAAGCCAAAGGTGCACTGGGGTTGGATTTGGGGGCTAGGCATGCCGGGAGAGGAACCCCATCCTTACCTTCCCACTCCAGTTCATTGCCATTCCCCAGGAACTCCAGCGAGTCAGTCTCATCAGGGGTCTCAATGTCATCCACGTTAATATCCAGGTCATCGGGGGTATCCAAGAAGTCATCAGACAGCAGGGAGCCCTCACTCTGATCCAGGGAAATGTTGATCTCCGGGGCCACCAGTGTCTTCCGCTTGCGATGAGCCCCATTGAAGTTTAACGTGTTTGGAGGGGCTGCCGGAAAACAAAACAAAACAAAAATCCCATTGCTCTTTCTGTCTCGCACCTCCTCTTCATGCCCCCGCCTGGTGGGAGCTCCATCACGTCCTGGGCATGGATAAGGTTCAGAGGACACCCTGTCACAGCAGCAGTTAGTGTTATCAGTGCCCTGCCATGGAGATCAAGGACAGGCACTTGGATGCGGGCAGACTGGGGTTCCAAGCCTGAGCTTGCTACTCCTGAGCTTCATGACCCTGGAGAGCCACCTCACTGCTCCAAGTCTGACTTGCTTTTACCATCTGCAAAATGGGATTCACGGGAGGGGGGTGGGGTAGCCTGCCAGGCTCTAGACTTATCTATAGTGTGATTATTGTTACCCTTGAATAGGACCAGCAGAAAATGCCACATTCTTTTTTATCTTTCTCTGATGTTGGACTCTTTAATAACCAACATTTATTGACCATGTACCAGGGGCCAAACACTCTGTGAAGCTCTCCCAGGGCATTTTATGTTTTAACCTTGCAATAGCCCTATGAGATGAGTTCGGGGTTCAAGCCCATTTACTTGATGAGCAAACAGAGGCACAGGCCACTCAACTGGTTGTGTGGCTATTCTCTCAGGACTTGGACAGACTCTTAGCTTGACTCTAGTCTCCCTGGAGAGGTGGTTGCTCTTCCTGGGCTACCCTCAAGGCATTCAAGTCAATCAGATAACTAGCTGGGACAGAGAGAGTCCTTCCAGGTTTACATTGGAGGAAAACCATCATCTGTCCCCAAATCTAGTTCGAGGGAAAGGGGCTGATCTCCCAGAGACTTTAGGAACTCACCCTTGGTTTCATTCCGTGGTCAGGGATGACAAAATTAATAAACCTATAGGACCATCTTGTTCCTGCTTATAGGATGGAGATTCAGCCATAATGAAATGGCCAGTTTCTTAGCTTTTTTTTTCTTTTGAATTTTTTTCTTGGACTTAGGGTAATGGGACAGCAGAGCTCTCCCAGGACCGACTTTACACCTGGAACCCCCTGGGGAGTTTCCTGGAATCACCTCGTTGAATTCTTCCAAGCCCTTTCTGGAGGACGCTCACTACCTGTGTTTACTAGGTGAGGCTTTGACAGTACAGGGAGGGTAAGCAGCTGGCTCAAGGACACACAGCAGCACGGTGCTGGCTTCATGCCTGTGCCCACTTGCCTCAGGCCACCAAGGCTGCTGTTCCTGCAGGCCTCAGAGCAGAGCAGCCCCCGTTCCCTGACACTGCACCCGGAGACACGGCTTCTGGCATTTCTGCAACTACAGTCCCAGGCAGAAGCTAGAAGCAGAGCTCCCATTTCTGCACGTGTGCAAACTTACAGGATGTGTCTTCTGCAGGGCTACCAAGGGTGTCCATCCCTGTGTCTTCTGGGAGTGGTCTGCAGATCCAGCCAGGAGTGGACATCAGGTACCCCAAATCCAGTCACAGGAGTGTGGGGTTCAGACAAAACAGCAGCAACAAAATCTGTTTAGTTCTGGGGAATCTTTGGACCAAAACACATTTGTTTATTGGCACAAAAAATCATAAAACATCAGTGCTACAGGGTTTCCTTCATCGTCCAATAAATAAGCCTCTCTGTTCTTTTCATGCAGGGAAAGCTGGAACCCAGAGAGAGCGAGAATGTTGTCCAGCACAGGCTCGCATACCTGGGGATCTGAGTAGCATTGCTCATATGTGACCCTACAGGGCTTGGTCTTTGATGATTACTGCTACTAAGAGCAGCAAGAAGTAAGTGATGTGCACAGAGCAGTTATCGGAAGGGGCTCTCTATGGCTAATGTTGGCTCCATTTGTGCAACTAAGTAAATAATGGAGCATTGGATTGTAAGCCAAAGTACAAGGTAAGTGCCCATGGGTCTATGCGGATATTAATAAATGATTAAATAAGTAAATAGGGGAGAAGAGACGATCCCCTGCAGAAATCCAGGTAACATATGTAGATACTCAGTCCTCCACTTGGTCATTGTGGGTTATGCAGAGTGACTCCCTTCCAAAGACAGCAAGATGGGGGGAAGAGCGACTTTATAGAGGGGTGATCTGGCCGCATACCTTGGCCAGAGGACCAAGGTCAACTCGGCAGCGAGGAGCTGTGGGGATGGCACACCCCAATACCTTGAGATGAGAAGGACCCTCACCTCTGCGCTCTTCCTCCCCAAACCTATCACTCCAACCTAACTATGAGAAAATATCTCATAAACCCCAATTGAGAGTATTCTACAGAATCCTGCCCAGTTCTCTCAAAACTGTCAAGGTCATCAAAACCAAGGAAGTCAGGGCCTCCCTGGTGGTGCAAGGGGTTAAGCACAGCACTGTGAAGCTGTCCGCAGCCTCTGCAGCACGAGTTCGACCCCCAGCCAGGGAGCTACCCACATGGTGCAGCAGACCTCTCCTGTCTTGCCCACTGCTCCCCTCAGCAGTGTATTTCAGTCAGTCTGCCTGTTCTGCTCCCCACTATCTCTGGCGAATCCTCTCACCCTCTGCACCTCTGGCCTGTACCCCAGTTGTTGTATGCATAAATAAATCTTTAAAAAAAAATAACAACCAAGGCAAGTCAGAGAAACTCTCCAAGAGTTGTCTAAGGAGAAGTAATGAGCAAATGTCATGTGGGAACCTGGACAGGGTCCTGGACAGAACAAGGACTTTAGGAGGAAACCAAGGAGATCTGCATCAATTGCAGACTTCAGCTAATGCTAATGTATCAATACTGGTTTATTAACAGTGACAAATCTACCAGCCTAGTAAAAATGTCACTCCTAGAAGAAACTGGGAACGGGGGGGTGAGGGGAGATAGTATATAGAAACTTTCTCTAGTATCCTTGCAATGTTTCTGTAAATCTAAAACTTTAAAAAGTTTTTTTTTTCCCCTTTATGACATGCAGGCAACTATGCATGTGTGCCCCTTGAAACTTGGCTAAGCATGGATTCGAAAAGAAGATCTGCTTCTCTGGCAATCACTGGCCTGCTTTTTGGATCAGCGGCTCACGCTACCCGAGTTTGACCCAAGCTCTGGCTGCTTTGCTCTCCGGGGAAGTATTCAATTGCAGGGAGACATGTCAGAGTGCACGTGGCTTTCAGAGGCTCTCGCTGCAGGTCGGGCTGACTCAGGGAAACTGCAGTTAATTCATCTCTGCAACTCTGCTACTCAGCAGTGCCGCAGAGGAAAGCTGGAGAGGGACTGAAAGGAAGCTGAAAACACAGGAAGGCCAGGAGAATGCTTCTTCCCTTTCCTTTTCAAAAACAATTTCTTCCCTTGCCTCTGCTCTTTATTTGGTGCAAAGTGCCGGTTTTTTCAGGGTGGAATCTAACCAAGCTTCTTCCTTTTCCTTCCCCCAGCCTTTCTCCCATTCACCATGTACCCAGAGGTCTTTGAGTCACCACTTCCTCCCAGGTGCATTGGTTGTCTTAGAGGTAGTGGATGAATCGGACACCACCCTCCTCTCATGGAGGTCAAAGGCCAACACAGAACTGAGGTCTAAAGGGCATGAAGACCATGTCTACACAGAAACTCATATGTGAATGCTCATAACATCATGATTCAGAAGAGCCAGAAAGCGCAAAAAACCTAAATGTCCATTAGTGAGTGAATGGAAACTCATATGTGTCCATCCCCTCAACTGGAACAATCACTCCGCCATGAAAAGGGCGTGGAGTGGGCTTCCCCGGTGGCGCAGCGGTTGAGCGCTGGGTTGCGAAGCTGCCCGCGGCCTCTGCCGCACCGGTTCGATCCCCGGCTGCTCCCCGGCCACTGGAGGAGGGTCCCACATGGTGCGCAGACCTCTCCTGCCGCCCGCTGCTCCCCTCAGCAGTGTACTTCGGTCCTTCTGCCTGCTCTGCTCCCCGCTCTGGCTCTGGTGAATTCTCTCACCCTCCCGCACTTCTGACTGTACCCAGTGCATGTATAAACAAACAAACAAACAAACAAACAAACAAATAAATAAATAAATAAATAAATAAATAAATAAATAAAACATGCCTCTATTTAAAAAAAAATAGTTAAAAGAAAAAAAAAAAAAGAAAAGGGCGTGGAGTGGTGGAGTGGAGGGACCTTGAACACACGACGCTCAGGGGGAGAAGCCAGACACAGCAGGCCACACGGTATGAGTCCACTGATGAGAAACGTCCAGGACAGGCCCAGCCACAGGGAAATGACAGAGAGTCATGGACGCCAGGAATTGAGGGGACCGCTAATGGGGACAGAGGCTGCTTTTTGAGGTAATGGAAATTTTTTTGGAACTAGAAAGATGATGATCGCACAATACCATGAATGCACTGTTACTGGACAGTGTGTTTAAAATGGTTAATTTTATTTTACATGAATTTCACCTTAATTTTTTTTTACCTTGGCAATTTTTAATGTTTCAACTGTGCAGAACTAAAATTTCTATTTAAAGCCACAGAAGGAAGAAAAGGGAGTTATCACAGCATGAATTCATAGAAAAAGGATGTCACCTCAATTTTGAAAGAAAACACAAACTTCAAATAAAGTCAGAAGGTTGTAAGGAGCAGGTGGGGCTGAATAACTCCCACACCCACTTCATGAGCATGCTCTGCCCCTCTTGTCTGCAGGTGCAACCCCTCCCCTCAACATGGGGTGGAGGAGCAGCCAGTGGCTCCTGAATATGGTCTAGGGGCCCCAAGAATAGAAAGCACACTGCCATCTGCAAGGTTACCCAAAACTTCAAAGTTCAAGACTGACTGCTGAAGCTCTGTCCTGGTTTTCTTCTGCCCCCACACAGCATTTAAAAATATTTTAAATTTGCTGTCAAATCAGAGATGTGACATGAAAAATTGAGATTTCCACCGTTTTTGCAATCAGATCTGCCCTTCACATGTGATAACAGTCACCAGGCGCTGAGTGGCCACTCCATTCCTCTGGGCCTTACTTATTTCTTCCTGATCTCTCAGTTACACTGCCTGCCCGTCAGTCAGAGGCTGCAGTTCCTGTTGTTCCAGAGTCAGCTAAAATCTCTACTTACCCCACCGACAGGGCACTCACTTTGTGCCAGCTTGGAATGTTCACAGCATGATCTTATTGGGTCCTCACAGCAACCCTGCAAGGCGCCTGTTTCACAGAGGTGAGAGCGGGCTGGGTTGCAGAATTGCCCTGGGGATGAACCACCCAGAGGTGTAGGCGGCTCTAGGCGCTGCCCTCTATTGCCCCCTAGTGCCCGCCCAGAAGGTGTGTGTCATCCCTTGTGGGGACAACAGGGAGGAAACCCAGGGACCCGCATTCCCCTGACCCCCGGCAGCCAGGGACCCTTTGGTGCCCTGTCCCGTCACTGTCACTTCCAGAGGAAAACTATGTTGTAGCCCCCCTATCTCCTGTTCTCCTCAGGATGTGATTCAGCTGCTTCTCCCTGGACCATCCGCACAGATGCTGCTTCGGTGACTAATCTGTCTGGTTGCAGGAAACACCGAAGTGAGAACCTGAGGATGACGAGGGAAACTGCACAGAAGTCTGAGAGCCGACAGCCCATGCCAGCCCTGAGCTCTGCAGCGCTGTGTGTCCGGTGTACTCTTCCCGCTCCGGGCCTCGGTTTCCCTCATCAGTAAAATGGTTAGTATTAGTGCTTTTCATCCATCTAGCAAATACAGCTGGCCCTTGAGCTATGAGGGACATGAAGGACTACAGCCCTCCAGAGGCTAAAACACCCCTCTAACATTTGACTGCCCCAAAACTTAACAGTCTTCTCTTGGTATCCACGGAGAATTGGTGTCAGGGTCCCCTCACCCCAATATGAATGCCAAAAGCCACAGAATTTCAAGTCCCTTATAGTTGGCCTTCCATACCAGTGGGTTTCTCATTTAAGAAATCAACCAGTGCGGATGTCAGATGGCAGTGGGTTGAATCCACACATGCCCAACCCTCAGACACAGAGAGTCAACTGTATTTATTGGGAAATTTATTGGCTCACACAGTGTGAACCCCTGTTGTTCAAGGGTCAGCTGTGTGTCTTAGGTATATAGGTAGAGGCAGGGTCCTGGCTGGGAGAAGAAGAAAGTCAGTTTGATGCCAACTTGGTTAGGTTCTAGTGCCCATCTATTGGATCAAGCAAAATTCAGGAACTGCTGTGAGGTATTTGGTACATATGGTTCACATCTACTATCTTCTGGCTTCATAAGTGGCTCCTCAATCCAATTCTACTCTCTAATTCTAGCCTCTGACTTAATATTACTTGTGCTGTGAAAAAGTGCATTGGAAATGCACTGTGGGCCTCAGGATCCTTGACAATGCCTCCTGTGTCTCCCAAGCTGTGCTCTGGGGCTTGAAGGGCATTTAGCCTCCTAGTGCCTTAAGTGTGAGCAGCACAGCCTTGGTCTCTCCTCTAGGGCTACCTAGCCTCTGTTTCTGTCTGACTGAGTCCACTTCTGGTGCATG